TAAAGCTTTTTGAAAATACATGCCTTGAAAGTTATCAAGTATATATCGTAAAATAATCTAAGTCCAAGAATGTAAAGGAATATGGCCAATGTAAAGCTTTTTGAAAATGCATACTATAAAAGTTCACAACTTTCAATCGCAAAATAATCTAAGTCCAAGAATGTAAAGGAAAATGGCCAATGTAAAGCTTTTTTGAAAATGCATGCCATAAAATTTCACTTCTATACATGTATATCGTAAAATAATCTAAGTCAATGAATGTAAAGGAAAATGGCCAATGTAAAGCTTTTTTGAAAATGCATGCCATAAAATTTCACTTCTATAGATCGTAAAATAATTTAAGTCCAAGAATGTAAAGGAAAATGGCCATTGTAAAGCTTTTTGAAAATGCATGCTATAAAAGTTCACAACTTTCAATAGCAAAATAATCTAAGTCCAAGAATGTAATGGAATTTCGCCAATGTAAAGCTTTTGTAAAATGCCTGCATAAAAAGTTCACAACTTTGCTTTGTGAAATATTCTAAGTCCAGGAATGTAAAGGAATATGGCCAATGTAAAGCTTTTTGAAAATACATGCCTTGAAAGTTATCAAGTAAATATCGTAAAATAATCTAAGTCCAAGAATGTAAAGGAAAATCGCCAATGTAAAGGTTTTTGAAAATGCATGCTATAAAAGTTCACAACTTTCAATCGCAAAATATTCTAAGTCCAAGAATGTAAAGGAAAATGGCCAATGTAAAGCTTTTTGAAAATGCATGTTTAAAAGTTCACAACTTTCAATCGCAAAATAATCTAAGTCCAAGAATGTAATGGAATTTCGCCAATGTAAAGCTTTTTGAAAATGCCTGCATAAAAAGTTCATGACTTTGTTTCGTGAAATATTCTAAGTCCAAGAATGTAAAGGAAAATGGCCAATGTAAAGCTTTTTGAAAATACATGCCTTAAGAGTTATCATGTACATGTATATATCGTAAAATAATCTAAGTCCAAGAATGTAAAGGAATATGGCCAATGTAAAGCTTTTTGAAAATACATGCCATAAATTTTACTTCTATAGATCGTAAAATAATCTATGTAAGGAATGTGGCCAATGTAAAGCTTTTTGAAAATGCCTGCATAAAAAGTTCATGACTTTGTTTCGTGAAATATTCTAAGTCCAAGAATGTAAAGGAATATGGCCAATGTAAAGCTTTTTGAAAATACATGCCTTGAAAGTTATCAAGTATATATCGTAAAATAATCTAAGTCCAAGAATGTAAAGGAATATGGCCAATGTAAAGCTTTTTGAAAATGCATACTATAAAAGTTCACAACTTTCAATCGCAAAATAATCTAAGTCCAAGAATGTAAAGGAAAATGGCCAATGTAAAGCTTTTTTGAAAATGCATGCCATAAAATTTCACTTCTATACATGTATATCGTAAAATAATCTAAGTCAATGAATGTAAAGGAAAATGGCCAATGTAAAGCTTTTTTGAAAATGCATGCCATAAAATTTCACTTCTATAGATCGTAAAATAATTTAAGTCCAAGAATGTAAAGGAAAATGGCCATTGTAAAGCTTTTTGAAAATGCATGCTATAAAAGTTCACAACTTTCAATAGCAAAATAATCTAAGTCCAAGAATGTAATGGAATTTCGCCAATGTAAAGCTTTTTGAAAATGCCTGCATAAAAAGTTCACAACTTTGCTTTGTGAAATATTCTAAGTCCAGGAATGTAAAGGAATATGGCCAATGTAAAGCTTTTTGAAAATACATGCCTTGAAAGTTATCAAGTAAATATCGTAAAATAATCTAAGTCCAAGAATGTAAAGGAAAATCGCCAATGTAAAGGTTTTTGAAAATGCATGCTATAAAAGTTCACAACTTTCAATCGCAAAATATTCTAAGTCCAAGAATGTAAAGGAAAATGGCCAATGTAAAGCTTTTTGAAAATGCATGTTTAAAAGTTCACAACTTTCAATCGCAAAATAATCTAAGTCCAAGAATGTAATGGAATTTCGCCAATGTAAAGCTTTTTGAAAATGCCTGCATAAAAAGTTCATGACTTTGTTTCGTGAAATATTCTAAGTCCAAGAATGTAAAGGAAAATGGCCAATGTAAAGCTTTTTGAAAATACATGCCTTAAGAGTTATCATGTACATGTATATATCGTAAAATAATCTAAGTCCAAGAATGTAAAGGAATATGGCCAATGTAAAGCTTTTTGAAAATACATGCCATAAATTTTACTTCTATAGATCGTAAAATAATCTATGTAAGGAATGTGGCCAATGTAAAGCTTTTTGAAAATGCCTGCATAAAAAGTTCATGACTTTGTTTCGTGAAATATTCTAAGTCCAAGAATGTAAAGGAATATGGCCAATGTAAAGCTTTTTGAAAATACATGCCTTGAAAGTTATCAAGTATATATCGTAAAATAATCTAAGTCCAAGAATGTAAAGGAATATGGCCAATGTAAAGCTTTTTGAAAATGCATACTATAAAAGTTCACAACTTTCAATCGCAAAATAATCTAAGTCCAAGAATGTAAAGGAAAATGGCCAATGTAAAGCTTTTTTGAAAATGCATGCCATAAAATTTCACTTCTATACATGTATATCGTAAAATAATCTAAGTCAATGAATGTAAAGGAAAATGGCCAATGTAAAGCTTTTTTGAAAATGCATGCCATAAAATTTCACTTCTATAGATCGTAAAATAATTTAAGTCCAAGAATGTAAAGGAAAATGGCCATTGTAAAGCTTTTTGAAAATGCATGCTATAAAAGTTCACAACTTTCAATAGCAAAATAATCTAAGTCCAAGAATGTAATGGAATTTCGCCAATGTAAAGCTTTTTGAAAATGCCTGCATAAAAAGTTCACAACTTTGCTTTGTGAAATATTCTAAGTCCAGGAATGTAAAGGAATATGGCCAATGTAAAGCTTTTTGAAAATACATGCCTTGAAAGTTATCAAGTAAATATCGTAAAATAATCTAAGTCCAAGAATGTAAAGGAAAATCGCCAATGTAAAGGTTTTTGAAAATGCATGCTATAAAAGTTCACAACTTTCAATCGCAAAATATTCTAAGTCCAAGAATGTAAAGGAAAATGGCCAATGTAAAGCTTTTTGAAAATGCATGTTTAAAAGTTCACAACTTTCAATCGCAAAATAATCTAAGTCCAAGAATGTATTGGAATTTCGCCAATGTAAAGCTTTTTGAAAATGCCTGCATAAAAAGTTCATGACTTTGTTTCGTGAAATAATATAAGTCCAAGAATGTAAAGGAAAATGGCCAATGTAAAGCTTTTTGAAAATACATGCCTTAAGAGTTATCATGTACATGTATATATCGTAAAATAATCTAAGTCCAAGAATGTAAAGGAATATGGCCAATGTAAAGCTTTTTGAAAATACATGCCATAAATTTCACTTTATAGTCTTATAGATCGTAAAATAATCCAAGTCCAAGAATGTAAAGGAAAATGGCCATTGTATAGCTTTTTGAAAATGCATGCTATAAAAGTTCACAACTTTCAATCGCAAAATAATCTAAGTCCAAGAATGTAATGGAATTTCGCCAATGTAAAGCTTTTTGAAAATGCCTGCATAAAAAGTTCACAACTTTGCTTCTCGAAATATTTTAAGTCCAAGAATGTAAAGGAAAATGGCCAATGTAAAGCTTTTTGAAAATGCATGCCATAAAATTTCACTTCTATACATGTACATCGTAAAATAATTTAAGTCCAAAAATGTAATGGAAAATGGCCAATGTAAAGCTTTTTGAAAATGCATGCCATAAAATTTCACTTTTATAGATCGTAAAATATTCTAAGTCCAAGAATGTAAAGGAAAATGGCCATTGTAAAGCTTTTTGAAAATGCATGCTATAAAAGTTCACAACTTTCAATCGCAAAATAATCTAAGTCCAAGAATGTAATGGAATTTCGCCAATGTAAAGCTTTTTGAAAATGCCTTCATAAAAAGTTCACAACTTTGCTTCGTGAAATATTCTAAGTCCAAGAATGTAAAGGAATATGGCCAATGTAAAGCTTTTTGAAAATGCATGCTGTAAAAGTTCACCTCTTCAGATCGTAAAATATTGTAAGTCCAAGAATGTAAAGGAATATGTCCAATGTAAAGCTATTTGAAATGCCTGATATAAAAGTTCACAACTTTCAATCGTAAAATAATCAAAGTCCAAGAATGTAATGGAATATCGCCAATGTAAAGCTTTTTGAAAATACATGCCTTAAAAGTTTAAAAGTTCAGTAAGTGGGATGTTTTTAAATTTCTCAACTCGTCATTGTAAAGAAAAAAAGCTTTACTTTAAAATGACATAAATTTTTGTCCCTAAATCTTGACATATATAATGTTATGTGTTTTTATATTATTGTCAAGTATCAGTTGCACGTTATCGCGGAAAAATGGTTTCGATGGATTCAGAACTTGCATCAAAGGAAAGAATAGTAAGGAGGTTAGACTCAATAATGGCCCCAAGAAAATTCCTAATAATAAAGGACGCCGTTATTGAGTTTAATGACGTTGAACTAACACTGTATCAGGCTTTAACAATACCACGTTCATGGCAGGCCTTGCAACAATTCTCACGGTCATATCAGGCTTTAAAATTACCACGGTCATGACAGGCCTTGCAATATAATATAACATTGTCACGGTTATACCAGGCTTTCATGATAACACTACCACGGTCATGGCAGGATCCTTGTGAAACTAAAAACTCTTAATAACATGGTGACGGTTGTGCTAGGCATAAGTCTTGCAACAGAAAGGGTCTCGAATATTTAAACATTTCAAAAATCATTTTCTAACTGACGAAGAGCACCTGAAGAGGAGCACGATCTCTTTCCAAATCTCAATCTCATGAATTTCAAATTCAATCTGAACTTGGAAATGAAATCAATCAATGGATTGAATTGAAATCTGTTATGCATGCATATCTCACGTATAATTTGGACTACGTATGGTTTTTGAAAACTACAAAAGAATACTCACGATGATTGAGCCTCTGGTTCTATCTGCAGGATTAACGATAAACGATAGGTTAACGAATCTAGTAAAAATGCCCAAAAGTTCACAACCGGAAGTAAGAAAAATCTTAGGAACAGTTACGCTCGGGCTCCCATTTTGATTGGACGAGAAAGAAATTCAATGGCTGATGTTGCGTCCGTTGCTATCCGACAATTTCTTCTAAATTAAGCGATGAATCTCAGCTTTGATTCAGAAATACACGGTATGTATCGATTCATTTGGCTCATTTTTACCGTTTGCATCGAACACTACTGAAACAGCATCTCTCTCTTTCTGTTGACGTCGTGTTTCGAATTTAAAATTTAAATTTAATTTTTCTGCATTTTTTTGACTGAAAACTGAACAATGATAGCACAGATCCGGAGCCAGACCCAGTCTCTATTTGTTGTAGGCTCAAAGGATAAATGGGAAGATAAGACACGAGCCAAAAATGACACATCAAAAAATGACCACCCAAAAGTATGACCTTTAATTTTTCCATCTGACAGACGTTGATTGATCAATATTTACCTTACTTCCTGCGAAAGCTATTTGGATTTTGATATAATAGCTTTCCCACGGAGCATTTGGACAGCTCAATGATCGTGACCTTTGAAATCGAATTAAGTCGATCCGCGGCTTACTTTTGGTCTCTAACTGTGTCTTACATCAGTATCATCAATCCGTGTAAGTATTGGAGCGCTGGAGTACTTCTTTTTCGATCAAGACTTGTAATTGTTATCGAGTGAATCGTTTTACTGCCAAATTCCAATATGGCGGTTTCTGCTCGGACATTTTCGTAAATCTCCGGAGGTTGTCCGAACCTAACTAATTCTCAAAATTCATTTCGTTCGTTGCGTATCTCGCACCTAGCAAACCGCCATATTGGAAATAGGTCTGTAAAACTTTAACTCTATGAACAATTTACAAGTCTTGATCGAAAAAGAAGTACTCCAGCGCTCCAATACTTACACGGATTGATGATACTGATGTAAGACACAGTTAGAGACCAAAAGTAAGCCGCGGATCGACTTAATTCAATTTCAAAGGTCACTATTGATCAGCTGTTCACTTCTCCGTTTGAGAGCCATAAGTTTCAAAATCTAACATGGCTCTCGAAGTGAGTAATATTTACCCTGTTATCTCTTCTTTATGTATTAGTTTGAATGGTTGCATGATATCCATTATTGACACTGTAATTCGAATTTTCCCGGGATATTTATTTCAAATTTTCAGAGCGTAAAGATAATGGAGTGCTTCGGTAATTTCCGGCAGTGTCGGATGTTGTTTGTCTCTCAAATTATGTCACATCGCAACAAACAGCAAATGATAGCAGATGCGTAACCAGGCATACGCGAGGGTACGCAGTTGCGTATCCTAAATGATGTAGAAGTTCCCAATTACACAGTCTGATATCACTCAGAACGCACCATTTAAGGTCTAAAATCAAAAAATTTCCGAGGTGGATGTCCCCGGATCCCCTAGTTTTGCTCTGCCTTCGGCCTCGCGTACCTGCTATCAAAATCCTGGTTACGCCACTGGATAGTAAAGGATCGCGTAGCCTAACGAACTGTTGTTATTGTTTCTCCAGGAGTTTAAAGAAACGTCATGGGACTTCTCGGTAATCTCTGATGTGACATCATCTGGAGTGGTGTCACATTCTCAGAAAAGGCATTTGACTTCGGGAATAAACATTTGAACAACAGAAATAGCAGAAGCACTCCATTAAATATACGCTCACTTATTTTATGCTTTTATCAGCAGACGCTTTCTAGGATGTCTGGCTTTAGTGATTTGAGTTGAAGCTAAAAACAGTACGCATCGTTTGAGGTATGACATGTGATATTTATTGATAAACGGACTCCAAAATCAAGGAAAAATAAATTTTCCGAAGATCTCGTGTCTTGTCCATGAGTATATGTATTGAGCTTTTACACCACTGAAGAAGAGGTAATCTGGCAGAGGACCGTGAGTGATAGAGCCTAGACTAGGCATCACAGAAACTTGTGACACTATGATATGAGATGCTTATGCCAGATCTGAGTCAATATTTCTATCTATAGATATATATATATTGACTCAGATCTGGCATAAGCAGAGATGCCAGATCTGAGTCAATATTTCTATCTATAGATAGATATATTGACTCAGATCTGTCATCATAATACTCACTTCGAGAGCCATGCTAGATTTTGAAACTTATGGCTCTCCAATGGAGAAATGGACAGCTGAATAATAGTGACCTTTGAAACACAAATTAAATTGATCCGGGGCTTCCTTTTGTTCTCTAACTATGTCATACATCATTATCATCCTTCCGTGCAAGTATTGGAGCGCTGAAGTACTTCCTTTTCAATCAATCCTTTTCAATTGTTAGTCGAGTGAATGTTTTTTCTGCCAAATTCTAATATGGCGTTTTCTGTTCGGACATTTTCATAAATCTCCGGAGGTTGTCCAAACCTAACTCATTCTCAAAATTCATTTTGTTCGTTGCGTATCTCGCTCCTAGCAAACTGCCATATTGGGAATGGGTCGAAAAAACATTCACTCGATGAACAATTTACAAGTCTTGATCGAAAAAGAAGTATTTCAGCGCTCCAATACTTGCATTGGATTGATGATACTGATGTAAGACACAGTTAGAGACCAAAAGTAAGCCGCAGATCTCATTATTCATGTTTTAAAGGTCACTTTTATTTAGCTGTCCAAGTGCGCCATGGGAAAGCTATTATATCAAAATCCACATAGCTTTTGCAGGAAGTAAGCATCATAAGCGTCTCATATCATAGTGCTACAAGTTCCTGTGCAGGCATAAGTTAAAGTTTAGCCAATGTTTTATCAATTGTGTCTAGGTCCTTGATTTTTCACAAATTCACATCGAAATGTAGTCTCTAAATATATAGGATCACAGGCCCAGGAACTTGAGGAAGAAGATTTAACCCCCCTGTACTCACTGTGTAATGTATGAATTCCACATACGTTACACACTGATTTGGGGGGGAGGATTTAAATCTTCTTCCCGTGCCTGTGTAGTAGATTAATGGGCTAAGTTATACCTCCAGGATATATGAACCCTACAGAAAATAGGTAGGGTAAAGAATATGTCAAAGTCGTTTGATCTCTCCCCAAATATTTTGTCACTTGTATCTCCCAGAATTCCTTAACATTTTTGCAATGCCGGCTTTATTTTATGACTAGACAGTTGACAGATTCATAGATAAAGTCATATGGGTGCATTAATTCATCTATAATTAACATGAACTAAGATATGATAATCTTTAAAAATTGAACCCTTCAAAGACTGTATCATGTCCCACATACATGGGTAGGTGGTTGTGAGGTAGGAGGTTTTTTATACAAAGCCATACTGGACAAAACCAATAAAGACAAACAATTCTATTATTCCTTATCAAAGGTTCCTGGATATCCTCAGAGATGTACAAATATTTCTATCCAGTTTACAGCCTCCAAACAAGACAAAAATCAGATTAACCAACAAAATCATTTGCAATTCTGGACAAAAACAATAAAGACAAACAATTCTATTATTCCTTATCAAAGGTACCTGGATATCCTCAGAGATGTACAAATATTTCTATCCAGTTTACAGCCTCCAAACAAGCCAAACAAGACAAAAATCAGATTAACCAACAAAATCATTTGCAATTCTGGACAAAAACAATAAAGACAAACAATTCTATTATTCCTTATCAAAGGTTCCTGGATATCCTCAGAGATGTACAAATATTTCTATCCAGTTTACAGCCTCCAAACAAGCCAAACAAGACAAAAATCAGATTAACCAACAAAATCATTTGCAATTCTTTATATAAAATATTAATGAATGCATATTCAAAACTTTCTTTGTAACATGCTAATGTTAAAGTATCAGTTTTTCTGATTCAGATTTGAAGGAAATGAGATGAGCCAAGCATCAGGTGTATCTATGATGGGGGAGCCTGGGTCCCCTGGTAAGGGGTTATCATCAGATCCAATTGCCATGGAGAGAATCAAAACTGAACGTCCCTTCACATCGCTTCTCAGACCAAACACTTCAAGGCCAGGTAATAAATACAACTTATACAGCTCATGACTAGGGTTTATTAAATGAGTTGTGAATAAGGTTTTCAGACTTTAGCCTTACATAGCTTTTCAGAGAAATTCAATTTTTAAAACATCTTGGCTACAATTTACAAGGGATATGATTATAGAAATGAAAGTTGTAATGTCCTGTCTGGCTTTATCAAGCAAGAGCCAGGGTGGAACAAAAATATTATGGTTTACTTTGCAGATGTACTATTCTAAAGATTTACATGCTGTTCTAATTCTAAACATTGCATATATATTTACATTCAAGTGTTTCTATTCGAAACATTCCATATATATTTAGGTGATCTTATTGTAAACATTGCATTTATTTATATGTGTCTATGCTATTGTAAACATTGCATATTAATATATGTTGACAGTTGCTAATTCTTACTAAATTACTTGTATGTGTACTCTTATTCTAAACATCGCATATGCATTCACACATACTCCCATTCTAAACATTGCAAAAATGTATATAGAGTTGATTTTTTTTAAACTTTTTTTTTGTATTTACAAGTTCAGGAAAAACTGTCTTAGTGAACACATCTTTCTACTGTACTTAGTTAACACCACTTCAAGACACATTTTACATTGACTCCTGTATAAAATTTCCTCTCTGTAAAGAATACATACCAGGCCCGTAGCCAGGATTTGCCAAGGGGGGGTTCAATTTTCAAAAATTTCCAGGGGGGTTCACATTTGACAATTATGCCCCAAATATGGCTAAAATCACTTGAAAAGTGCTCAAAATGGTGAAAAACTGCATGATTTTGAAAGAATTTTTGGCCAAGGGGGGGGGGGGTTCGTCCGAACCCTGGGAACCCCCCCCCCCTGGCTACAGCCTGCATACCTAGAGTGAACACTTTTTATGGCTCCATATGTGTTCAATATACACAGGTTTTACTATACTCCTATTCTAAACATTGCATATATTTCCAGGTAGTGCATTGGCTAGAGGAGTGCAGATCACAGAGTTTGAAGATCCCAGGATAAATCCAGAGCCAATGTTGATGGAGGAAACAGACTTATTACTAGAGGAATATCTATCACCTAGGAAACTGGTAGGAAATCAGCTATGACCCGTTCACTAGCCATGATTGTTACAACTCTCCCAGTTTGATTAAGTACACTTAAAGCAGATGAAGCAAAAATAAATGAAAGGACGATTCTCGGTTTGGAGAATAGTCTCCTGGGCTAATAATTTTTTTCATGAAAAATATAGAAATATTACCCAAATTAAACTTTGAATATTCAAAAGAGAACATTTAAATCTACAAGATGTAAAAATAACAAATTGGTCTGAAGCAGGGATAATGCTCAATTAGACCGATTCAATAAAATACAAGTCTCGATTTGGGGAAAGAAGTTCAATAGTGTACTGCGCTAATATTTTTTTGCGAAAAATCTATAAATATTACCCAAATTAAATTATGACTATTCAAAAGAAGACATTCAAATCTATATTATGTAAAAAAATCAAATTTGTCTGAAACAGGGATAATGCTCATTTAGATTGATGAATTTCGTTCTCCAAACCGAGAATCGTCCTTTATAATCGTATTACACTGAAAATGTTTCTAGCCCAACCTTAACTTTAGAGATGCTTCATTTAGCATCTTGTCTTTTTCATGAAGTCTTCTTTTGTCCCTATCATGTCCTTAAACTTATCTGTTTCAATAATAAGGGAGTTGGCTACGATATGGTTGAATAAAGATGAATAAATAGATGTCTCTACTAACTTTTATTTGTTTTGGTTGATCCAGACTGCCATTGGTTTCAATGTCTTGCAATGGTCACTCAATTTCATGATTTATCAAAAAGTGTTGGGTGAAACTGTCTAAAACGTGAATAGGATAAGATAGGATGACCCTAATATTAACATACATATTGTGATTAATCATGAACATTTTGGTTGCCCAACAAATAAGCCAAGGTTTTAAAGAATTTTAACATTGCATCAATGGAGAAAAAACAAGTGTTAGCAAGATTTCAAAGCTATATAGAAATTTCTCTATTAGTGATTTACTTGAATCATGGGCTTTCAACTAATTTTCAATTTTCAACTAATAGTTTCTAATTGAAAGCCCATGCTTGAACCCAGCAAATTGTTTCATGGTTTATTTATTTGATTAATTTCAGAGGGCATTAACAGGTGTAGAAGATCTTGATGAAGTGCATTTTCTTGAGATGAAAGTCGACACGACAGATACGAGTCTCGGCAACTTTGGCGCTATGTTACCAAACCTATCCCAGCTGAAATTATCCAATAGCAATATTACATCTGTCAGGTATTAAACTCTTACTCAATCAGCATAAAATTTCCTTCTCATATCATTCTTTCTTTCAGTTCCTTGCTAAATGTATTTTCAGAATCAGTCCTTGTGTTTTCAGGGTTAACTCTGGCATTTCTTAGTACATGTTATACGATTTTTTTCATGATGATTTTTTCAGGGACCTTGGATCATCACTTACCAGCCTAAAGGTGTTATGGATGGCCCGTTGTTGCCTGGAGAATATAGATGGCATATTTAGCATGACTAATCTACGGGAACTTTACCTTGCCTATAATGAGATCTCCGACATTAGTCCTTGTAGCATGCTGGAAAATGTACAAATTATTGACTTAGAAGGGTAAGCATTTCTCCATTAGGATTATAATTTTAAAGAGCTGCCAACTGTATCATATAACCACTCCTTAGTTCTTCCCATTAAGGTTTCTTTTCAAGTGAATGCAAACTCTAAGCTCTGTTGGTCTTACATGTCAATTCCCAATTGTTATAGTCTTCAACTTTTTTTGGGATGGTGGTCTGTGTTCTGTAACAAATGGCAGGTGGTGACATTTTGCATGTTTATACCCTTTTTCATGATTTTACAAGTATATGGAACATGCCTATTTTCAAAATGGTCGCAGCACCCACTTGCGCACAAACCACCAATTGTGGGAAGATACTTCTCTTTATACTACTGAAATGTTAAATTAAGGTATCAGAGAGTGTACCATAACAATTTCATTATTTTCCAGGAACAACATAGAAGATATTTGCCAGGTAGAATTCCTAGCTTTGTGTAGCAGTCTCTCCAACTTGACATTAGAGGGAAATCCAATATGTGTCACACCAAAACCCGATGTCACCTCGGTATGTCACATCAATAATATGTCATTTTCATAAAATTTATTCATTAAAATAACTGTCATGTCACTTTATCATGTTTATAGAGCTCATTATTTTATATGTATAGTTGATAAGAATAGAGTTTTTAAATCTATTTATGGCAAATTATATTTTTGTAAATTACAATTTTCCCTCTGTGTAATATCTCTTTTCTTACAAAACTAAATGTGTAAACACCAGTTATTACATTTTTATCTTTTTATGTGAATGAAATAAAATATACTAGATATACAGGGTGTCAAATAAGTCCCGTCCCCCCTGCTACAGCTAAAACCTTAATAGATGGTACCTAGTGTGATATACCATTGGAAAGATCATCCAAAGTTATGTTAACTCACCAACTGTCAAGTATTCTGGATGAAATTCACCTATATTTTCATGATGTCCTTTATAGTTACTGTACCCTCCTTAACTTTCATTGCATCAAAATGAGAAGGATATGACCTCAGAAATACGTCAAAAAGTTAACCTTTTACACATTCAACTTGAAACAAAAAGGTTTTCACCATTTTTCCATGCACCTCTATTTTCTACACATCTAACCCTATCCAGAAATTGGTTGAATTCATTGCCATATACATATGTAGTCATCTTTAGGTCCTTTGACTTTTCTTCTACCCGATTCTTAAAATCCTGCCAAATACGCCGAATTGCCATGTTTCTAGGCCTATGGTCACCTCAATTGATATAATGTAAAAATTTGTGAGATTGATTGACATGTGTCAGATATATGCCAATCAACGTAACTTTGGAAGACCTTTCCAATGATATATCACACTTGGTACAATATAACTTGGTCTTGGCTGTAGAGGGGGGGACGGGACTTATTTGACACCCTGTAGTATATTTATCAAGATAATAATTTCAAGATTATCATTTTTTCCTATTGCAGGAGGAGTATGATTACCGTGTGGCCGTAAAGAAGTCAGTGCCACATCTTACCCTTCTAGATGATGAACCCCTAGAGGAAGTGACATCACAGCATCGTAAGGATGCGTCAGTTTTTGATGCTGACTGGAAACTTTTGGAAGAACTTATGCAAGATGGGTAAGGAATTAGTGTTAATACAACAATTCAATGTTATTATTATCGCAACTGATCCAGTGTGATTTTGATAAGTTGCTTGAAAACAACAAAACATTAATATATTGTTTTTTCCAGGTCTGTGCCACTGGGTAGTTCTGACAGTGTAGACCAGGTGGCAGTACCAGCAAGACCCGTGACTTCATTACGTCCAACAAGTGGGTACAGACCTGGGTCAGTGCTACGCCCTACCTCAGCCATGAGAAGACCAGGGACAGGCATGAGGCCCACAACTGCTAGGCCAACGTCTACTGATTCAGTTCAATCCACTGGGGATGATGCTAGTGATCTCACTAAAGGATCTGTGGTTTGTGGACCCCCCTCTAAAGCCTTACGTACACGGACTAACCCTACCAAGGTGTTACCACCCAAAGACACTGACAAGCCTAAACTTTATCCACAGAGCCTTGTGAGTTATCTCATTATTATTTCTCTTCATTTTCGTTACATTGCAGTTCACCAGTCACCTCTCTGTCTTGGGTAATTTATTTATTACCTTTTGCCGTGTAACAGCCATTTATCTCATTACTTGAACACGTATTTGGCATTTGTTTCCACAGAATTTACCATCTGCACATATGCAGTATAGAACCAGGCAACTCAGTTGACTTTATATCTTGTTAAATCATGCTGGTGGGGGGTATGGGTGGCTGAATCATTTTTGTCTATATGTCAAGTTAATTTTCAACTAAGATAAAAGAACCTATTAGAAACATAAAATGTGGTAGAAAAGTGCAAAAAATTAATTTCTAAGATTGATGCCCCAAACATGGTTTTCACTTTTTGTTATCCACTGTAGTACCTTTGTATCATCACCAATGTGACAATGCTGTGTTTTTTGTTCAGTGAATGTATTGTTCATACATTCTGAAAAACTTTAAAATAAAGTTTATCTCAACTGAACTGTACAATATGTAGCTTTCATTTTCTCTCTGAAAATTTGAAAGAACATAGATGTAAGTTGGTTGATGAATAAAATTGCTAAAATAATATTTTTTGTTTTTCAGTTCCAGCATAAAGCAGAGCACACTTATGATGAACCACTTGATGAAGAAACTGCAGATGACATCCTCTCAGAGTTGAAAGCATGGAAGTTAGAGAATCTACAAAGAAAGGAAAAAATAGAATCCGAACGTGCACCACAAGTATTAAAAATAGACTATGATGACGCTGTATCATTATCAGATGAAGACCAAGATGAGGAAATACTATCAGATAATGAAAATGAACCAATCACAGAGCAGAATGATCTTGCGTCAAGTAGAACGTCACAAGAATCAGGTTTCAGCAGTTCGATGGACACTCAACCCTTGAGACAAACAAGTACAAGTTTGCATGATATGACACCTAGTAGAATCTCAACAGAATCTGGGGTTGATATGACAGAGTATAGAAGTGATGTTCCAGCATCTTTGTTGCATCAGAGTCCACAGCATTCCCCACTGCATAGCAGTCCCCAACACTCTCCACACGCGCCAACACCCCCAGGTTTGTGCTTGTGTTTTCTGGAAGTCTTTCAGTAAGCCCACAGCTGTCATCAATATTCAATACCTCATTGTTTTTAAAAACAGCTTGCAAATGCATGCTTTACATTCTATATATGTACAACCAAGATGTAGTGTTTTAATGGCCTAAAATATCAAAGGATAAAGTCATGTGTTGAAAATGCTTTCATACCATATTTCTACTGTACACAATGTAGTGATCTCCATACCATTGATGGTACAGCGCCTACTGTAGGTTTTCAAAATAGCTGTGCACAGTTTAAAATCCATTGTGGAAATTGTGGAAATCAGAATTTTGAATCTTAAAGATTCACTCCATTAGATTTTTTTCATGAAGTTAAATTTAACTTCATGAAAAAAATATAATGGAGTACACTTCATAGTGACATCTTTTGATTTTGCTGTATTTTGTTGCATTTCAGGAACAAAACCAAAGCATATCAGTAGTAGGAGGATGCGAGTCAAATCTATTGAAAAAGAAAAGGACATTAAAATGTTGAGAAAGTCTCGAATGCAAAGTGATGAATCTTTTGAAATAGAAGAAAATGATTTGTCTGGCTCTAAATCACAAAGTGATAGTAATCTTAGAGGAGGGGGATTAGATCTGAACCAGGGTCCGGCACAGTTTGATGACCAGGGGCGTCCCATTTCAGGACCAGCAGCATTTGCTAGGAATAGTAAATTTAGGTTAGTAAATTTGTCAGGCTAACGTCACCCTAGTAGCAATTGAACAATGAACCCATTACCCTTCGTTTTCTGGGCGATATAATTATATTATTATACATATGCGATAAAAATACTTTGTTGATTTGTTTATCGTAATAACTTATCCATAATTCTAAACTTGCAGGTTTGATTCAGCCGAGAAAACCCATAATAAAGTCATTGATAAATCAAGACCAGTGATACGGACATTGATAAATAGCCCTGAGCGAAGTGGCCTTGACCCAACCATGCGTCATAATACAGCTAGGGCTGCCGTAAAACTTGCTCCAATTCCTCCAATAGGGGGCAGTAGAATGAGGCGACAGCTTCCACAAGTTGCAACACTACCATCCAGACATATAGTGCCAAAGTGACATCTTTATCAACAAATGTGAACTTACGATAACATTAGAAATGATCTCCAAATATACAGGATGGTAGGGGATTATATTGGCACATTCCAAATCCTCTCAACAATGTTGATATGAGGGTTTTGAAAAATAGATTTGATAACCCTTTAAAGCTTAGCTCTTAGTAGTTTTTGGACAAAATATCTCAACAGGATCTCATCATTGTTTGCCAACGAGATATCTTGTTCAAAACAAATGCTTTTGAAAAGTGGGCAACTTTTGTGATCTGAGATTTACTTTTTGAAATTATGACATTTTTGTGTCATTGTCATTTGGGGAGTCAATGGCTGATTAAAATTCAGAACTGAGTGGAAACGATGTTAAGAAGATCTATGAACAGCTCAAAGTCAACATTTAACATGCATAACATGCCAAAAATCTAACATAACATTGTGAAGGAAAAAGCATGAACTGTGTGTTATATTAAAGCTAGTCGTATGCCCCACTGAATCAGGCTGGAAAAATAAATTTGGAGAAACAGAAACTGAACAGAAGGTTACCTCTAAATTGACCGAAATGGATTATGGAAACATTTTTTTCTAATACATGTACTCATACATGCCATAAGGCTAATTCTTCACATGAATTCCTGGTATTTAGCTAGGGACAGTTTTCAATAATCCACATTTTCATAGGATTTGATATTACTTTGAAGGCTAATAGTTTCATTATTTACATTTATCTTTCTTTTAAATATTCTTGATTTCACATTCTGATCTCATCATAACTTTCTGTCTTGTATATCAAAGCAAAACCAGGGTGTCAAAAAATTATGCTTGTTCAGGACATACAATTTAAAAGAATGTACATTTCATGCTTGCTTATCATATATGAATACATTTTACTAGCTGATAGTCATATCAGAAACTGAAGAAAAATTTAAACAATATGATTCCACCCATCTTTATTGGTATTTATTACAGGATATAAACTCAGGATTAAATGAATTGTAGGTGGATTTAATATACAAGTCCGACGTCTGTGTATTCTTTGAAACTGGCATACCAGAAATGGGTGCATGCAATCACAATATAATTCATTGAGTCATGTGCTTTAACAGTAAGGCTATTGAGAATTACGGCAATGGTTAGGGGTTTCAGGTAAAAACTGACAATTTAGGTATTTTAGTAACTTTGACCAGCTCTAACTTTCCTCCTTGGAGTCATAATTTTTTCACCTAATTCAAGAAAAGACAGAACGTTTCATATTTCAATATATTTTTGCAAAAGGTCAATGTTTTCGTTTTATTACAGTTTTTCTTAGATTTACCATACATCTGTAAGTTGTAAATTATAGCATATATTGTATTCAGATCGGCCAGAATGTGAGATGTATGAAAGTGAAACTGTGACTATGGTCCTTGCCATAGATTTTGTATTATTTTAACATTGTTCTGTGTACTCGTATTCAAGTGTGAATGGATTAATGATAAATGTATGCTCAATAAAAATCCGTCCAACTTCCTTTATATTGCTTATTTAATGATATTTTTCAGTCCATAATAGCATGCAACATAATAATAATTTAAGTACTGTAGTTTATTTATTAAATAGTTTTATATCTCTCCAGAATTCAGAAGAGGGCAGTGTATGTATAATTGTACATAAATGGGACCATTCACTGATTTATCAATACATATATACATGTAATTTTGTATGAAACAAAATAAAGAACACTGTGATTAATAAAGAATATTAGGTGATGACAGGTATTGTTTTTTAATGTACCTAAAAGGTATGATTAAGTATTGTTAGTTTGCCTTCTAACTTTTTTTGTCTGGAAATTGACACACAAACCTCTTGACAGATTCCAGGGATGTTTCTTGGTTTGAAAATCTAGAACTCATAAGATTTTGGATTTTATTGGGAAATTCTAAGGTGGCCATTTTTGTTGTTATTCTAAACATATCAGTTTCAAAGTTATTTAACAAAGAAATGACATTGAAATAAGTTTGCTTGAGGAATTGTTGCTTTTATAGATGAATTTTTCACTGAAGTCCTTTTCAGAGTTAATTTTAATACACTCAGTAAGAGTTTCTTTTACAAGTCCTTTAAGAGTTTTTCTACAAGTTTCTCCTATCATCAAGTACTTTTAATGGTTTGTTTCTGCAGGAACTCTGTCACTGATTCCTCCCATTCAAACTTCAACAAAGCCTCAATAAGTTCACCCAAACCTCGCCCTCCATTCATAAAATCATTCAAGTCATAAAGGCTGACACCAATTCTGTGATCGGTAACCCTATCTTGAGGGATGTTATAAGTACGAATTTTCTCGGAGCGTCCAGCTGTTCCAACTTGAAGTTTTCGCTGTGACTTACGTGCTGCCATCTCACGTTCAAGCTGAGCACTATAGATCCTAAAACACAAGAAGTGAAGCCTAATTATATGTATCTTTCAGGCTTAGTAGATGTTCAACTGGGATTGATATGCAATTGATATAGACAAAACTTGATTTGGCTGTGCTTCATTGTCATATACCATTAAATAACAATCATTTTCCCACCACTTATCACATTTCTAAAATGCTAAGAATTCATTTAAGCTGGACTGCAAAGGCATTCCCTTTATAGTTGAATATTGTGTATCAATTCATTTCCTTGAGCATGGACTATCAACAAATGAGGTACAAAATATGCCATGCTTCAGTTGTAAACAGAACATAATCGGATTTGGCTGGATAAGGCAAGGTGTTAAAGAGAGAATCAGATCTAGCGAGTAGGCCAAAAAAATTGTCCCAATTTTAGAATATTTCTGGCTCATGTCATTCCTTGTCATGTCTATTTTCTAAAAATCCCCGAAGTGAACAATTTATTTCAGGAAAACTAAAGATTTTTACAATAAATGTATTATTTTTTTGTAAGAATGGTCACCATTCTTATTATTTGGGAGAATTTAAACATTTTTCACCCATTTTTGCACTTTGAATCCATATTAACTTCACCGATTTAAAACATATCATGAATCTTTTTGTAGATATTGTATTTGAGATTGTAAGGAATAGATTGGTAGGTCAATTGTACATGTTGCTTGTAATTTTGTCACTCATATAGATCTGATTCTGCCTTTAAGGTAGGTGATACATAAATCCAATACCTAGAGGCAAGCTCCTCCATGGCTCTCTTGCGGTTGACGATCTGTGACCTATCAGTGGATCTCTCAACAACAGTGCCTGAAAAATAGGAGAGAATGCTAACATAGGAGACAACTCCCTTAAAACAGTGCTTAATCATTCTAAGATAAAGGGCCATGTGAAGATATCTTTTCCTGTTTTTCACATAAAATTACAGTGTACTGTGTATCATATTGACAGTTAGGGTTACAGTAAATTGATTGTTACAGTAACGTTTTTATTGATTTCGAGTTTTTGACAAGTGACATTCGTTAGTGAGAAAGGAATGTACTCTAAACCTCTCAACTAAATATTGACTGGCTTTTAACTCATAAAATACTTTTTGATAAAAATTGTCAAATACAAAATATTGAATGACAACCAATTTCTTTGCGCTCAATTAAATATACCTGTTGGTATATGTTTGACCCTGACTGCACTGCTTGTGGTATTGACATGTTGACCTCCAGCCCCACTGGCCCTGAATGCCTCAAAGTGGATATCTTGAGGCCTCAGAACTACATCAATCTACAAAGCAAAAGGTTATACAAAATATCAGTATTATCAAATGAGCTTCACTTTTTTAAATCTTAATTTTTTCATTCATCTGGTCTCAACCACACTCTACTACACCTTGCATTTGGTGTTCATGAGCTACCAATTTGGCTTATAAGTAATGATTATATCATTTGTTTTTATTGTCTTTTCCTTATTAATGGTTCATCGGATGACTGTTAGATGTTAATAAGGTACTTTCAAAAATATACTAAAAAAATACAATTAGACAGAGTATCTTATGCATTTCTAGGGGTTAGATATAGTAGAATGAACCATCACATGACAGTGATGACATGTAGCTAATAGTCAGCATTCTCTTTTGTTACTAGCATTCATCTTAGCATATAGCATTCCTAATTGATTGGTGGCATATGTAATAAATAACCTCAAGGTACCAGTGCCATTTTAATGCCTGAATATATTCAAGATGCAAAATAATAGTAAATACTAGTACCTGTGTAGGTCTGGGAAGTATAGCTACAGTCATTGTACTAGTGTGTACTCTACCAGCCTTTTCTGTGCGTGGTACTCTCTGAACACGGTGCACACCACACTCATACTTCATCTCTCTGTAAACCCCTGAGCCACTGATAGAGGCGGAGGCCTTCTTCATTCCACCTATAATGAAACAGATACATAAATATTGTACCTTTCATCTGTTCCCTATCTTAACAGAGAAATATTATATAAATTGAGTGCCTGGGCTGAGTAAATCTGAAGGTGTATCCTTTTATCATACAGATATACAAAAGAGTAAACTGGGAGGTACTTTTTTAATTTTTCCCTATGAAACTTTACTATTCCTTCATCGATAATACTTTGGTACCATGCTATTCTGTATTATAGTATGGTATAATGCACAGATCCAGAATAAAACATACCTATATCAGAAGTAGATTGTCCAATGCTCTGAAACAACCAGCCTGAATTCTGTGCATAGGCCTCATAAAGCCGAAACATTTCTTCTGTAAACAGCATGGCCTCTTGACCTCCGACCCCAGCACTCACTTCAAGTATGACTTCATCGACCTCATCTCCATCTAGTCGGGGTACAAGCTGGTGAAGCAACTGAAATATCAGCATTAATTCTATGAATATAATTTCACCTGGGAAATAAAGGTAAAAGAAGACATTAACAAGATAAGTGGTTCAATTTAATGAAGATAATGCAAACAAAGAGTGAAATTCTGTGCTTATAGGGATGATGTGAAACAGTCAGTCTACCTCAGAAGAGATTGAACCCCGACCCCTCACTACCTACCAGTACCTGGGAAAGTGCTATATCACTGAGCTACAGGAGTCCAGGATTGATTGCCTTTTCAACTTTTGCATAGTCTTATATATGTTTTACAATTGTCTTGCATGACTAGTTTCCTGAACTCCACAATGGCCCACATTAATTTTACCTGTCTTTCAAGATTGTCAATCGTATCATTTATGACAATTGGTTAGTAGTTACAAATGTGTAACAACTGTTTTAAATTCTAAATTAAAATTTTCACTATTTGATGCAATATCCTGGATCTTTTAGATTTTTTAAAAATTTTACCCACCCTTATAATTTCTCTATTGCTGTCTATTTCAAGCATTACATTTTCTTACCTTATCCTGCAGCTCTGTAGTTCTAGTTTGATTGTCTTCTAGTTCCTCATTGACCATTGCAATAAGTTCCTTGTCCAACTCATCTACAATTACAATGTAAATCCTGACCTGTATGTCATATTCATTGCCAATTGTTGAAATGAGATTTATGCACGCAGTATACATTGTATATCAAAAGGTGAACCAGGCATCACACGATTTCAATTCAAATCATGATCTTTAGAACTATATAGTGTTATCAAATATGAAAGTAGCCTGTCGGGCATAGTCTTGCCTCATATGAATTTCTTGAAATCATAAAAATTTTCCATTGGCAATAAGATCCTCATGCACTATGAATATATTACACTGCAGTACGCAATATAAATGCTATTTATGCAGTCATACCTTATGGTAAATTAATATATAAGCTGTTTATGACTCTGCCTGCACTTGGGGGAATTGAGAGTGCTGGGATGAATAGTTCATGCTTTGCATATTAAGCTCTTACTTTTAAGGATGTTCTTTAATTCTTGTCTTTCTTGCAATGCAGCATTATATTCAGCTACTTTGTACATGACAGGTCCTAACTCTGCAAGACGTTTTGACACCTGTAAAATTCAAGAAGAGTACAGATTCTTTCTCCCCTATGTAGTACTTGCCTGAGTGAGCATAAAGGTATATGGAGAATAGTTTTTGAGGGGAATGTAATCCTCGAAGGGTCATAATATTACATATTCACGTGCAAGTTCTCTTAAAAACATGTGGCTGACACAGGGAGATTATGCCTAGTACTCAATTAGTATAAAATGAGTACTCATATAATGAGCATGGAATTGTCATGGTGCTAATTTAGTACTACATGAGTACTTATTTATTAGTCCTAAAACATGCAATGAATGTTTTAGTCTGTAAATGTTTTAGAATGTAAATGCTCATCTAGTATTCAGTATTCACTAATATGAAAACTCAATTAGTGCTAAAAAGCCATGATGGGTGCTAATTGAGTACTTGGCATACCTGCCTGTGTAACCTCCCTATTCCCATCCCTATCACAGACTTAGTACATGTTTCTATCTGTTACATATACCTGTGCAGCTGCCAATTCTCTATCATCACTTCCACACTCCAACAGCATCTTATTCAACTCTTCATACTCAGCACTTAGTTGGTCTATGTGGGCTCTTAGCAGTTCATCCAATGAAACACTATGTTTTAACATGGTTGAATACAGTCTCTGAGTTCCTATGATGTTAACTCCAAATTGATACAAGTTCCTTTTCAGTAATCCACATGTATTGTGTCTTGCATCTACTCTAAGCGAGGTTATATTTGTGCTAGAATACTTTCGATGTGGATTCATATGTAGTGTACCCATGGCGTACATTGAACTATAGTTGTACTTTGACTCAAAGTTCCTTTTGCTTTGTGCGCATCTATGATGGTCAATGTTGGCTCCATATGAATACTGTGAAATATTTCTTTCACCATTATATATGCTTTTTATCCAATGTACCCCCTTTGTAGCCATCCCACTTTCAGAAGAGAAGCACCTTCCAATATATTTCAGAAACATGTTTAGATGGTCAAGTTGATCAATTTTCTATGAAATGTAATGATACAGAGTTCTTAGTAGCAAGTAAAGTGGACCAGCTTATAGAGTACCTTAAATCTAACCTACTATTATGCTTAGAAAATTCTTAACTATATTTTTACAGGTTGTAGTTGTAATAAATGTATTTTGTAAAACTTGTGTGTTCAGTTTATTTATTAAAGATGAAGCCACTAATGTAATGCTAATCTGGAAGACGGCACAATTGGTTGTGGGTTATATCCAATACGCTCATGGATTATTTCTTGTTTTGTTTTTGTTGGCTTTGTGCTGGACCCTGGGCTGTCTAAAATAAGATAAAACATTAAACTATTAAAGAGGAACTGAAATATTCTACTTTTAATATTAAGTAAATGGTCCAATATATTTAAGTTTCACCAACTTTGGCTAATATTGCAGCCTTACCCAAACAAACAAAATGGTGGTTATAAGTTTTGTATGTGATCAAAAGATTTTGACTTGAACTTTTATTCAAATCATAAGTGCAAAAATATTATGAAAAAAATTAGAGGGCCCTGTGTAAATAGTCCAAGGCAGGTTTATAAAGAATGAATATGTATTTTTGCAACACGCCCCATTGGATCATCATCAGATCATTGGCTTGCTAATAGTGTACTACCTTTTTCATGGTTTGACTGAATCACTAAAATCAAAAAATAAGACTCAAGCTAAATAACGAGACTCTATCAGCTTTGTTTGTCGATCATGAAGCATAAGCAACGCCATCTAATTGTGAAAACATAGTTTAAAGTGACTAATATAATTGGACATTCGTCCTCAAAATAAAGCAAACCAGGGAGTTTTTCAGTTAATTTGATATTAACTAGCTTTTGGAAGATTTGGAATTCTTTTGCTAAGTCCTATTTTTTTAATGCTAGCAAGTCAGTCAGCAGTCAGGTCATAAAAAGGTAGTACTTCTCAGGCTTATGGAAAAGTAGTAGCTAAGTCTTTTAAGTCTATTTTATGTGTACTACTATTAGATTACTTTCACTTTATTCATTCCTACAGTGCTTCCCATAATAAATCACGGACTTGAGTCAACATTTCTTTCGAAAGGTACTGCCATATAATTTTACCAGGATTGGAAACAAGCAGCCAGCGCTTTGGCAGAAGGGCACATGATCACCTCTTCATAAAAAGGCATCATTGGCTAACTCTTGGAAAATGTGTGCTTGTGATTGATCACATGATCATATCGTGCTATTTGATTGGTCGTCATATAGATTGATGTACACATAAATCTGAAAATGTCATCCACTGCAAAAACTCTGACTGGATCTTACCAGTCTATAAAAATGGTCAAATGAGGCTAATAGATACAATTACAGTTACATTTTGAGTAATAGGATACTATAAGACTCTTGTTAATGTAGCTGTGCAATTTCAAGTCACTAAGATGAGATAATTAGGCGAGAATAGGGAAATGAAACAGGTAACTTAATTGCCAGTAAGTTTGGAAAGAAACGTTGAACAAAGTCCATGTCATAAATGACATCTTGATTTTCTATCACCATTCCCAGACCATGGTGATTTGACTCAAATATTGAGACTTCATACTTCCCAATAATGTCTAGATAGACTAGATATCTACACATCCCTCAAGTTTTGTATGTTTTACATTTTGTATAAAATTCTCTTCTTTTTAACATGGGATCCTCAATTCAGCAAATCCAGGTGTCATGGACTTATGGCGAGCAATGTACTGGCGGAGACTTAAAACTGGTACTCAATTTCATCCGTTAAATATCGAGGTGGGCGATAATAGAGTAACAAAACTTTCAAATCTGGATTTCTCACCTAAACTGCTTTCCTCTTGCTTTTTAAGTTGTTCTCTCTCCTTTTTTACATTCTCCCATTCCTCTAGATCGTCAAGTTTCATTTCAATACGTGTTGGTTTCCTCCGTAACATCTTTAATTTTCTTTCAAAAATGTAAAAATGTTCGCAACCGGAAACTTGGCATATCTCAAATGACGGCGTTGTATAATTCACGAAGTTAAAACATTTTGCAAAAGGAGTTAAACCCACGAGGGAGTATCGGTCATCGGTCAACGTGGTTACAATCAAATAACGTATTCATTGAAACAAGCTATTTTCTTAGTGTGGCCTCTTTTGAGCCATGATTGACCGTTTATAAGCTATATTAGCTGATAAAAGCATATAGGTAAGCCTATACATCATTCAGTGGTGGAGCTGCCAGTGCCACTAGTATTGTGGAAAGGCTTTTTGATAATTAGGTGTCAGATTGGAACGTTGATGAGGTGTCACTAAATCCAATGTTTATCCGGTTTATTCAATTAAATTGTGGATGGAGTGTAGGTGGGAGGTGAGAACCTGCATAGGAGGGATATTATTTGGTTTTACCACTAATTGAAAACCCATGGTTTTACAGAACTCCCAGTCCCTCCCTGCTGGCTGCATTCATATGGAATTTTAATTTCTTGACAAGGCCATCTGATCCGACAGTACACTACTATCGGATACCCAGTACAAATCAGGATCGTACCTACCGAGATCACAATCAGGTCAGTATGCAGTTATGCTCGTATTCACGGAGGCAAGCTCAAATCATTAGATATTGATTTGGGCGTGCCCCAAATCATAACTGCATACCGACGCTGACGAGAGTGGTAGTTTTGAAGAGAAGCTGGCCAGCCAAATCCGTTTTCCAACATAACTATTAACCCTTCTAAGCAAGAAGCTGTGAGGCAGCGATTGCAATATTTCATGACCTTGGCTAGAGAAGCATCGTAAACTTTTTTTATTTAATTTTTTTTATTTCAAAGAAAAAACAAAGCATCGTAAACCTTATTCAGAAAACACACATTGATCATGATTATTTTCTGCATCTAAGTTCTCTTTCAGGAATAGACTGTACAGAATAATCCATCTTTGAGAAACTGAGAATTTCAAGAGAAGTGCGCACGTGGAAACGTGCTGGCAAGTTTTTTTTGTACAGCGATTGTAAGTTTAGCAAGAGCTTGATGTTTAGGTATCGGAAAATACCCCAAAAGAAGAAAATGTGACGAATATTTTTGCAAATTCTGTTCTCTGCGTCTAATTCCAATTGGTGATTTTCACCATAAATGTACTCACAATCAAAATTAAAGAAATTAGCAATATTTTTATTCAAAGGCTCATTTAAAATGTACTCAAAATGTCTTGTATGGCAAACATTAGTTTTTTTTATCTGACAAGTGTATCAAATGATTTTCAGTCACTATTAATATAAAAAATGAGGTTGAAAAATCTAAAATATTAGCTTTCTCGCAATTAAAACGTTAAGAAGAACGCCAAAGTAAAATTTCCCGCTTAAAGACTACAATATACTGTACAATGTACGTGTAGTTTTAGATTTTTTGTTCAAAAAGTTCCAACTAAATAGTCGTAGGCGTAGCCAGGGGAGGGGGGCGGGGGTGCGATGGGTGCCCTAACCAAAAATAGAAATCTGAGATAGAAGAAGGAAAGAGCTTTAAAATGCTCAATTATTTGAAGCGTCTAGCTCAATTTTGAAGGAAGTTTCATAAAATTTTGAAAAATCAAAATAATCTTATGTTTTTGGCTCGTTTATGCCACAATCGCACCCCTGACTGAAAACCGAAAACATTTTAGCAATCACATCCCCCTGACTGAAAGCTGGCTACGCCCCTGTCACTAATTGGTTACATTTGTGACTTGATGATTACTTGAAACAGACTTAATATATGAATATTAATTATATCAGTCCATAATGTATTGTATACACATCGAGTATCAGTAAGGAATTTGGGTGGTTCTGTTGATGTCAATGTTTATTTAACAGCCAACTAGCAAGGAAATCTCTAGCAAGTCACTTCTTAAAGTCCATGGAAATTGAAATACGTTGCCAATATCATCTTATAACAGCGGATCATTCTATACGACACGTGGCTTTAAGCGTCGTATCTGGACGCTCAGAGTGCTGCTATCCAGAAGGTATTGTATCCATTCCTTGTCAGACGTTGATAACGTTGAAAAATATGCTTTGGTTATCTATCTACCTGTAAGAATGGGGACGTGCAAAGAAACAGATTTCATATATATTGTTCCCTCACACATCTCCACAAATACCGGCTAGAGTTCCGTTTCTGTTAATAATTCTCATTAGCTTCATACAGATAGTCTCGGACAATGCGGACGTCTGCTTCAATCCGGCCGTGGTACGAGGTCTGGAGGCCTGTGTTCGGAGGATGGCCGATCACGCGGCTCTCATTGTACCGACTCACAGTGGAGTAGGCGTTACGACGACTACAGTTTACGTGAAATTCATAATATTTTCCAAAATGGCGTAAAAGCGAGGTAGTTGTTTTTGAATTGACACATTTGTAAAAGGTCTTAGTGACCCCAAACCCACTGACGAAGTGATAGAAATAAGTAAATGTTCGGAAACTCAAGTTATCGAAACGGTTACCCCACTGTGAGACTTTTTTAATATGATATCTTAAATCTGCATTGTGTCCGCGAAACTTACCAATACAGTAGTTGCATTGATAACCTTTGCAAGTGTCATCTCTCCAGCAAACCAAATCCAATACTAATACATATGATGAAACAAACAATACAAAATTGTTTACGGTAAATATTGTCATAACTGCCCTCTTCAAAAATCGGAATTGTTTGCAGTGTGATTGTGTTTGAAATGTACGTATATATCTACATTATTTGACACATTAGAAGTATTTTAATTGATTCACAATCCGATATGAACGATTGGATAGGACAATATGTATATGCATGACAATATAAGTGAATGAGACAAGCTGTTGCATGAGGACGTCATCAATTCCCATGTTTTATCAGTCCAGCTGTATTTTTGATTGACATATATCAGATTAAATTAATTCAAAATTAAATGTAGGTAATTGGCGTGTATCTTTCAACTCAAATTTCAATTACGTTACAACTCAATTCAATTTTTCATCTTATCTCTGTATAAACATTGTATGCATATTCACGCCCGATAAACTACAATACCAATTCTGCTTGTTATTTCACAGACAGTAAATTTAGTCGTACTTGGAAATCTTGTCGAATTTTGGATAATATAAACCAAAGCTAAAATATTCTTACGAAATATGTAGTATAAATTTTATTTCGCGTGTTTGATAAGCACAACAAATTAACAAAAAGTTTTGCAAATTAAAATTCGAATGCAGCAAGCTTACAAGTATTTCAATGGGGACATTAGCATCGCAGAGCATCTTATTGCCTTTTATCACAAATTGGAAAGTCAGTCAGATTGCACAATTTGAAATCGCCATCATATCAGAAATCTCAGACTAATGTTTGAAATAATGACATTTGAGTCTAAATTGTGATGTTCCTATGTTATAAATATTGATAAAATAACTGAAATCATATTATTGAATAAAACGGATGTAGTTATGTATTCAACGACATCATTTTACAAAGTTGATGTTGATGTAATAGACGTTATAGCAACCCCATCTTTTAACTGGTCGTCTTCCTGTATCAAACGGTGAAAAATATCTACAGTGGTCATTAGGCTCGGAGTAATAGCGTCTGAAACCTGCCTTGTCTAACATTTCCATTGCCCGATAAGCACGTTTGTAAAATTCAATAGAAGTGTTACGTCCGAAAGTGTGTATTTCCATGGCGAGCTGTTTGATATTGTGGAGCATGCCTGTTTTGAACATATTAGGAATTACTGCCCATTCGGATCCTTCAATATCAACCTTTAACATATCAATGATTTTCTGAAACAAGACAAATACGTGCTTTTATTTTATTTCATTAAACCAACCGACAGCTCCACTATTTATAAATTTTTTATTCTATTTCAGTTAAACTAGCAACTAAATAGAGAGAATAACAGTTTTCTAATACCGAAACTTGAAAATGTCAACTTATATGTCACAATTAAGTTTATCTAAGACTTACATTTGTGTGTCCATTTTCTTTAATTATTGTGTCAAAGGTTTTAGTTTCAAAACCCTTTGAGCTATTTTTGCGGTTTTTGTCCTCCAATCCGATGTCAAAGAAATGTATATAGTCTCCTCTTTTGTGTCGCTTTTTCCCGATCCTGGAATCCAAGATGTAATGTACCATGATTTAACAAATTTCGCTGTGCTCTGAAATTCCACATTCTAAATAAATGTAGTCAAGCTACACGCTCTTGTGACCCTAACTTACTTGTGTTGAAACAAGTACATAGTGTTGAAGCAAGACTACATGTATATATACATGATGTATTTTCTAATATACTCATGTTTTGGATATGACGGAATTCAGGTATCAACCAGAAAGTGAATTATTAGCACATTATTATATACATATCATTAATAATACAGAGTTAGCCGGAGGGAGGTCAATCTTAATTTTTCATTATTTGTCATCAGGATGTTGAGAAATAGCAGAAAATTACACGATTATTGGTTGGCAGATCGCACACTGCACTTACGTGGGATCAAATGAATATATCTCGCATCTCTTTCTTTTCGCCAAAGCATCATCGAAACTCCAATCGAGTCCAATCCTACAAAAAAAAACTGGGATTCAAATGACAAAACCATATATTGTAAGTTACATTCACGGAAACGAGCAAACCATGGTCTTTGGATATGAAAAGACAAATCATTGCGCATTGAGAAGCGGCCCTTAGTAGACGTTGAATGAATGAAACTATAGAATGGTGTACCAGGATAACTTCATACATACCCAAATGAATAAACAATGCAATTATCCTCGGAAAGTCCAAATGGAGGTGTAACACAAATATCCCAGCCTCCGTCCTTCCAATGGCCATACCTCTCTTTCAAGGGACAATCTATCTAAAGTCAAAAAGTGATTAAATGTATAATGATAAAATGCATCTACCATGACAGTTTTTTCTTCGACATAGGATGGATGCACTTTCAGTGACTATTTTACATTAAAACGCTTTCTGCATTACATGAAAATTAAACATTTCTTGTTTCGAATTCATTAAGATTTTTTTTCACTTTGATAATTGCATTTTTATTCATGTTTATCTGAGAATTGGGGAAGAAGTGTCACCACCATCGATATCATTTCTCAAAAAATGAAATCACTTTCAAAATGACGATTGGCGTTAATTACGAGAAACTCAGAAACTACAGAAATACCATGTAGTATGTTAGTCAGTACTAGGATGAGGAAAATTATTTTAGTACATCATTTTGAAAAATGCACAAGCTAGTAATTTGAAACCAGTCAATATACCTATCAGACCATGTGTGCCTTGTTTTATTGTGTTTTATTCCGGGTTTGATCGTTGATTATCCGATTTTGATAAAATCTAACCAAATTTGAAATTTCATCCAAAGCACTTTCAGAGCGAATCAATGCTGTTTCATTGATGCTATTAATATTTTTATATTAGGGTCTACTATTGTTTAAATAAAATGAATGGATACACATTCTGATACTCATTACATCTTTCTGTTTTTCAAATAGAAATATTTTCTAGAAACTACTAAGGAACTGATAGAAAGCCATGATTCCCAATGATAGAAAAACATGGACATTTACAGAAATTGTCCATTATATAAGCTCAAATATAGTACCTGTTTATAGATAGCATAACTACTAAAAGCATCTTCTATTTCAAAGTCAGTCTTAGCATCATTTAATCGCACTCCTTGGTAAGGATGCTCACTCCATAATGATTGCACAGTTGCCATGATTTCCATGTTTACTTCTCTCTGCTGGCCACCTGGAGGATGTGTGCCAGAATGCTGACTGTCTTCATTTGTAGATTGATCCAATTCTTCGGTGGCGGTCACATGTATAGAACTTGAGTATGTCTAAAGAAAAATAATGTTTTTCTTTTAAATTAGAGCATAGAGAATGTCAAATGATTGTTGAGACGTGTATTGTTCAACTTAAAATTATTGTCAACGTCCAGATACAAAGGACCAGTTTTAGCAAATAAACGTTTCTGTCATTTAGATTCTCTATAGCCATGAAATTCATATTTGGTCTCTTATACGATGGATAATATTGATTTTTATTTAGGTGATGGAGGGTCGATTGCCCCAGCTTCGTTAAAACTAATAAAGTGAATAATTCTTTAATACCTTGTCCGATTTATTGGAAATCATTTGAAACACAACTAAGATTCCAATTGCAACCAATAAGAGTAGTTTACCCGGTGATAGACACCGTCGCACGGTCTTGAAAGAACGTGAGCTAAACCGTGTTTGCATAACCCTAGCTGTACTTGTTTCCAGTATTGAGAACGATGAGGCTATAACACAACCGTTGCGTCAGCAGTATACGGTATAAAGTTTATTAACTTTGTTTTATTTAACACGAATTTATTGTAAATCACGTTAATTCGGAATTCATTTTTTAATTTTTTCTTGTTTTTGTTTCGCATCCAAGGTTATAAAGCAACACGTCTATTGGAGGTCTAATCTATCCATACTAGCTACACATTATGTGGATTAATGTAGTTTCAATGGTGAATACATGACGATTCTTTGACATACGTTCACTCCCCTTCAAATGCCCAGCCCCCTTAGACTATTTATGAAAGCCTGTTTTTGTTGCAATTTTCTAAAATTCATAAACTGTTTCACATCAGACCTTTTACATAATTATTGAGCAAAATTTCAAAATTCAAAATCGATTCTTTAATACAATATCTCATCCGGTTACGAAATCCATTGAGAGGGACTGTCACTGTCAGTGCTGTCACAAACATGTTTCAATTTTAACAGATGTACAGTACAGGGTTGGCAATAAAAATGGGACACTTTGTACCATTCTTCCAAGTTTTAGGAAGTATTTAGTATCACGCAAAATGCTGAACTGTTTGGATAGAAAAATGATCTTGCAAGTGCAATGCTGATTTTTTAGTTCGAATTTTCGGACCATTTAGGTTTTCATTTTTTTTGTTTTTAGTTTCGTCATTGGCTTTCAACAGAGCACATGTTTTCGACACTTTATAAAATAATCAATTTTTTTAATAGAGAAACAGTATTTCTAAAATAAATTTTTGGAATTTGAAAAACGGTCGGTGAATCCACTTAAACGATTGTAAAAATTGATATGCATGGAATTTAGAGAAAAACGGTTGCATTACATTTTATTAGTTCTAGTAACAAATCCATGAACCGTTATTGTTTTGTAAAGGACCGCGAGTTGTTTGTAGAATGAATCTGGGGAGCTTTTTGATGCATTTCGCTTGTGTTTTTCATCCAACAAACATCGCTCCACTTTAAAACATTTTATTGACTATAAGATTGCACCATATAATCCTAAAAAATATTTCTCATTTTCAAGGAGTATCTATGGATTAACACCCAGGTATTGTTATTTTTCAAACTTCAGAGGGCTGAGAATCATTATTACGATCGCTTTTGAATAATATTAATGCTGTTTTAAAAAGATTTCATGTATGCCAATGATTTATCAAATTGTGTAAATGGTACCCCTTCCTTAATCCCAAGAATTTTCTCTTTGAGGAATTTCCCATAGCAATCCAATGGTATACTGTAGTTCCAAGCAGATTTTGAGATAACAGGAAAGTTAATCATTAACACACACCTCATTGGCTTGTGATATAAACCAAAACAACCCAATACGGTGTGGATTAATGATTAACTTCGACAACGGTTATTTTTTAATCTAAATTTGGGACTTCAAATATACTCATATATGTTGACAACTGACATCAATAAAATTGTGAAAATAGAAGTACAGGGTGTCCACAAAAAAGTATACCAAACTTCAAAGCCAGGATTCTAGAATTCTGAGCAATATTTTGAAAATATAAAGGTCGCAGTAAAAGGCCTAATTTGTTCTCCATCAAATGGTACCTAAATCATTATGCGATTGTCACGGATGACTGAGCAATCATAGCCATTATGAAAGGTGGTAAAATCAACACTGTGCTAAGTCAAGCATTCAAGTAGGAACGACACAGTTAATGTTTTTTTGTGTTTAAAACATTATTAGTGTTCAATTTCAAATTTGTTCCATTTTCTTCACACTTTTTGCATACTTTTCCATTACTTTTTGTTGGTACCTTCCTCTCCGGAAATTGGATCCCAAGAGCCTGTTGACACTGAAACTTTTACATGACGATACGCAGCTTTGAAATCAATTGTATGATTGTATCCTCCATGTAAAGTCGATATACCCTTGCTGAAATCCTCATTCTCTCAGAACTCAATTTGATTGAGTCTCAAGAAGTAGATTCACGTGGGACAGTATTGCTAGATCAATTTTCAATAGTAAGAATAGGGGTTCTTAAACAGTACATTGGATTGGCTTTTTAGAACTTTTTGTTGGCTCTACTGCTCAGGTGTCAGTTGAACCATATTTGCGCTTGCAAGCCAATGTTAGAGTAAGTCAAGCTTTTTGCTTCAGTTACAATTTTATATAACGTTGTATAACAACGACAATTTCTAAAAATATATCTCAGGGATAGGTTTAATACATACTGCGTCGCTATAGAATGAATTACACTACTATTTTCAATTTTTTTATTGATACTCGCTGTCAGCTACACATATATATGCATGGGTATATTTGAAGTCCTGAAACGGCTAAGTATCAGAAATATCCCAAGGGTCCATGAGCAGTATGGCGAGTGATTTTAGACAGTCATATCTTTCACCATGGGTACTTTCTGGCCATCAATACTGTGCTTTTTATTAAAACAATATGTTTTCTTTCAAGTGAAGTCCCCATGGTAGTAAAATATCAATCCAACTCTCTAAAAAATGATGGATTAGGACCCCATCTTGGCACTTTTTTAAAAATGTTAGGTTCATTTTCTAAAAAGAGGATCTTGTTTTTCTCAATTTGAACTTCATGGGTACTTCACTTAAAAGAAAACATATTGTTTTAATAAAAAACACTGTATTTGTGCCCAGGAAGTACTCATCGTTAAAGATATGACTATCTAAAATCACTTGCCATACTGCACATGGACCTTTAAATTCAAAAATGACCATTGCCTCCGCACCAAAGCGCTCATTTCTGCAGCACCAAATATTTCCCACAGACTCTGTCTGCAAAGGGTGTTATTTTGGTGTACTCTTTCCGATGAAAATGATAATCGAGAGTACGCTTGATTTTTGTTGTAGTATGCTTGTATTTTGTTCTGGTAGAATGTTGGAACATGGTATATGAGAAATGGAATTTTAAATGATCATGAATTTGATATTCTTAGCAATGTTTTTTCCCATATAAAGGACAACGGTGTTGGAAAAGTATTTATCAATTTAAAACTTTCCAAAAATATTTGCCGTAATACTCCTGATTCTTTCATTATTTCTATAACTTAATTTGAATCCAAAAAAAGAAATATTCGAAAATAACATAAAATATATTTATTATTTGTTATTTACAATTCTTAATAATTCTGCCAACTAGGAACTTCTCGTTGTAACTCACAAATGAGTGCACTGCACACTGTTTAACATGCATGGTTATAATAACAACCGAGTGCCGTATTTCTAACAACTCTGCGTGATTGAGCATATCCAGGTCAGGTATGTCGACACTCTGGTGTAGACGGAAGGACCATTTTGGCAGCTGATGTCATTGAACGAGTTAACACCAGCAATAGCTGGACTTCCCTGTGGTTCTGGGCAAATGATCGGACCACCATGATCAACCTGTTGAGAGAATGTGAAAATGTATGTATCATGACTGTAAACGAAATTTTTAAGAAGCTTAGTCAAAGGAATAATAAACTTTTAGGTTATATGAAAAGGGACTATTAAAACAACAAAGTATTGTTATACCTACAGTAAAATTAATTTTCTCAACAGCAAATCAATGATGCTATTGGCCAGTTGAGGCAAAAATTGAGGGCTACAAATGATCAAAACGGTGGACATATTGAACGTCTGTTTATGTAAATAGTTGGTTTTTGCAAGTTTTGGAAAACCCGTTTTGAAACTAAAATGACGTCATTTATATTATGGATGCTGGTTGACAGACATTATAATAAATTTGAACTTACGATATACCAAATTAAAGATGTGTAAATTCCCTATCCACTGGTATATAATGACATTTTTTCATCAAGAAAATCAATATTTATTTTTGAAATACGAGTGTCCCATTTTTTGGACCACCCTGTATAATGTCATGCATGCATATTGGAGAGTTATTTCGCTGTTTAGAAAAGCATTTGCATGCATAACAAGTCAAAAATGAATTTGGTGCAGATAGCAATAACTATTTTTTGGTGCCAAATTTACTGTCCGTGTTCTGTAGGCCTAATCTAGTCTTACGTCATGTCTCTGGATCCCCTATCCACTCCACCTCCAGGGGTTGTGACGATGAGGTAGTGTAGCGCATCTTCCAAATTAGGTGTTCGTGTTAGATTTACTCACCCCACATGCGCTGATTTGGCCATCTCCAAAGCATATATGATAGTTGTAGTTTATGTTAATGGTGGGATAAGCTGCGTTGCAATCAAGATCATTGATCACTCTGTCCATGGCACGTCGCAGCACAGGCGCCGGCTCACCTCCTAAAATATGAATATGCATTTTGTTTCGTTTTACACAGGCTCATCGCTTTTTGTATTACGCGAGCATGTAGTTAAAGCACGATCTTTAAATATGTTAGTCAAATACATCGTTACTACGTCTTTTCAGCTACTTGACGAGTACTTTACCTTCGTATCTGCCCCATCCGGTGATATTACAGAACTGGTCGTAGTATGTAGCTGTCGTAGGCAAAGCAATGACGTTCACGTAGGCAGTGCGTGTGGCGGCCTGGTGCCTAAGGACCGCAATGTTATTGGGGTAGCCGTTCGCAGGATCGTTCGCAAATGACGGGTTCTAAAAGAAACATATCAACGTTAATTTTTGGACAACTATCCCAAAACCATCTACAAATTAATATTGTGATCAGATACGTATTCTTAACTCACTATGTCAATGGTCGATACTGTCAAGAATTGTTGCTCTGGAGTATTGACTAACTCATGTAGCCCAGCAACAACTCTGTACTCTGTCGCGTTGCTGAAACAGAAACATTTCATTGAGTGGGCACTCAAAACATCTAACTTTGACCACAATTTTTAGCTATACGTGAAATAATCAGAAGAGGGGGCACTCAAAGCATCTAACTCTAACCACTAGTTTTAGCGGTACTTGAAACAATCAGAAGAGGGGGCACTCAAAACTGTTTCACAGCCACCATAATTGGACATAATCGATCTATTTCTATTCCTCGTCCACTAAGGTGCATTCGCGAAATCAACTTCCGGATGACGGTTTAACCTACATTTTTGTGGCCAACTCATTTATTTATGGGGAAAACCATAACTTGACTCATAGCAGAAGTCGTCATACTGTATTTGGCATGGTACGGGCTTACCTTGATTGCAAGAAGCAAGTAGCAGCAGTGATTGAATGCTCAAAGTTGATCAGGGTGGCACCACAGACATGGCTCCATCCAGTTGCTGAGTTAAATCTCTGCAGTGAAAGCATAGAAGGAAACTCTCCTTTTATAGCTTCCACCCCACTGATGATTTGACTGCTCGGAGCACATTTCACTGAAAGAATCATGGAAAAATTCAAATCATTTAATTTCCCAAACGCTGGTTGTTTCAATTTTAATAATAGCTGCATAAATTAAATTATATCTCATTTCAAGATTTGGTTAATTCTGTAAACTATTATTTATATATCATATAATTAGCACTCACCGATTGAAATTGCAACGAGGATAACGTAAGTTCCCAACAACATTTTTGTTTTCCTGATGTTTTTCTTTCTTTAAAGGTTCAGCTTTGTTTTTTAACAATACTCAATACAGACCTGTAATATGCAATAACATAATCATGTAACTGGTATTACCGAAAATATATAATAAAATACATTAATTATGAATCCTATTGTCATACTTTCAGAACATAAAATTACTTGCCTACAATGCAGCTATCTGCACAAGCCTGCTCAAAACTATATCATTGTGTTTTATCTGGGCTGTAACGAGAAAAAGTTTAAGACAACATCTGGTAAAGTACCCGATGAGATAAAGATCGTTAACATCAACGTCCAACAACTGGCCATTTGAAATTCAATACATTTTAAAGTACGACTACCATAAAGCATTTATTGGGACCACTCGGATACTGGGATCACTCGAACTTGTATGCTTTACTTAGATTTTCAGAAAGACATGATGCCTGCAAAAGTTTGTGCCAAAAAGAAAGTAAAAATTCTACTTAAACGTTGGCATTTCACAAGTGTATGATCGTTAGACTTATCTAGCACATTTTTTATTCAGAATGTTTCAGGTTTGAAATACCACTTCATATTTGTGACTGTACCAATTTTCTAATCCCCTAGAATGACACCTCTTTGGAAACTGGCTTAGGTTATTGACTAGAACTTTTAGAATACAAAAAGTTTACATACTTTAACAGCCTAGTATTTAGGAGTCAGAATGTAGCTTAAAATATCATCTTGCTGTAAGAAGAGCAAAAGAGAAATGAACTATGACATGCAGAAGTCAGCGAATTTCCGATTCCGAAGTGTACAATGATGTCAGTCACTATCATAGGCTACGGGGTGTCTGAGATATACGTATATAAAATAAGTGTGGTCCAAAAATTGAACCCTTGGAACAAGCTATATCTCCGTTATTAACCGCATTAATGGGCTTATTCTCACATTAGTCCATTTGTCATTTTCTTACGTATGAATATGTAAAAGTACGAGGTTTTACTGCGTAATCACTATCATTAGGGATTTATGAAGTGATTTAGCTGGAGTGCCAAAAAATCAACTTTGGGTAAAAATTTAATATGCAAATGAAGGTTGACATACATGATGGTATCCCGATGCAAAGTCAATAGTCAACCTCATGTTAAGCCAATGCACCTTTGCTGAAATCCTTTTTTTCTCAGAAGAACTCAAGTTAATGGAGTCTCAACAAGTAGATTCATTTACACCCCCTCCATAAGTTTGGCAACCTTAGCTCCCCCATTGAACTACGTGTTAAAGCCTCTTTACGTTTGGATTTTTATTCACTTAACCTGTGATGAAATAGCTTATAATATTGATGGGAACGTAACTTGACTTTATTTCCAATACCTTCAAATTTTCCCAATTCTTTCCCTCGATTACAATAGGTCGAAAATTGATGATAAATTTGATGAATTTTTGAAAATCGTCATTCCCATGTAAACCAATGGGAAACGGTGGGTTCGGGGCAAATCAGAAATCAGGATATCTATTCAATAAAAGATTCAGCAAAAATATTTTTATATAGAAAATTGAATTGTCTAACTTTTTTGTACACTAAGTGTTTAGCTTACTTGATGAATACTAAAGTTACAGAGCTTCAAAGTCATTTTTGAAAATCATCTTTCGCCTCCTGTGTTATTTCAATGGCAGACCTTTTTTGAAAAATGATTTTGACTTTAAAGACCTATAACTTTGCTGATCCTGAAGAAGGGTATCAATCTTTTGTGAAATAAAGTTAGCAAATTCAATTGCCTACCTAACTTGTAATTTTTGCAAGAACTCGGAGTGATTGATATTCTGTCATATGACTTGCAGCAAACCTTTTTTTCAAAAATTCATCAAATTTATCATCAATTTTGGGGACTTATTGTAATTGAGGAAAAAAATTGAGAACATTTGGAGGTATTGGAAATAAAGTCAAATTACGTTTCAATCAATAGTATAAGTATTTTCATCGCAGGTTAAGTAAATAAAAATTCAAAAGTAAAGAGGCTTTAACACGTAGTTCAATGGGGGAGCTAAGGTTGCCAAACTTATGGAGGGGAGTGTAGGATAGTGTTGCTAGAATACATTTTCAATACTAAGTAGGTAATATGCTCTTAAACAGGACACCGGGCTTGCTTTTCAGAACTTTTTGTTGGTTCTAGATATTTCAATTATGGCCTCCCTACATTAGCCTATATTATTCTGGTATCCTTCTTCAAAGGACTTCATTTTCACTTAAATTCAATGGAAAGAAGTGAAATACCCTTGGACGAAGGATGCGGTTCTGGATAACTGCTGCAATGATTGTTCACTGTTCTATCCAGTATATCTAGTTTTGTGTATTTCTAATGCATTTATCTTCTGGAAAAAGTTTTAAATTTTTAGCAGTGAACAACTCCAATATTCCGAAGGTTAGTGCTATTCCGCAAGTGAGAACGTGATACAGACAACCTGACTGGACAAGCGGTGTGGATACCATGTGCGCACCTTGCGAACTTTATATTTGAATTCGTGATATTTTCCAAACTAAGGCATGTGTGACACTCAAAGCAATTATATTCATACATGTGTAGAGGATCCCTAATAAATTGTGTCAATATGTGTGTGCTTCATTCTTCAGGGCATCCACAAAAAGTATACCAAACTTCATAGCCAGATTTCTAGAATTCCGAGCAATTTGTTTGAAATACAAAGGTAGCAGCAAAAAGCTTAATTTGATCATTATGGAATAGTCATGGATGACTGAGCAATTATAACCATTATGAGAGGTGGTAAAATTAATGGTGTGCCAGGTTATTATCCTGTGTGGCAATCGATGTGTAGCTAATATTCTTTTTCGTTGCATATTTTTAGGGAACAGGCCTTACACAATGGAGTGAATTGGGGGCTGAGTAAGTCTCTTATAGTAATAAGAATTGGAAAAAACTGAAGCTACTGTGGAATAAGTCTGCAAATATGGTTCAACTGACACTTGAGCAGAGGACCATTGTGGTCAGTTTTATTGCTGTTCAAGAGACATTTGGGATCCAATTTCCCGAGAGGGAAGCTTAAGGTATGAGCCAACTTGGTTTTTCATAGAGAAATTATATACGGAGTTCTATTTTTATTCATGATTTAAGATACAACAAAGTTGATTTAAAATTTTTTCCACAAAATGACATTTTTGAATTATATATTCATCAGCAACTTTGTGTAATTGAGCATATCCAGGCTAGGTAGGATGAAACCCTTGTGTAGACTGATGGGCCACTTGAGCAGCTGATGTCATTGAAGGAACTTACACCAGCCACGGTTGGGGCTTGGGCTCCTTCGGGTTCTCGGCAAATCAATGGACCACCTTCGTCAAGCTAGAATGTATAACAATTTTTCATTTTTATAATTTTCATATACCAAGGATATATATACAGAGTGATAAAAAATGCAATTAGTCAATTATGGTTTAATCAGGTTTATTACTAGATAGCTATAATAATCGTACCTAAAATATGTACATTATTATATATGTGTATATTTTGCATGTATGTTGTTTTCTTAAAACTGTTCAAACTACAAGGACTTATCCAAACTTGGTAATTTATTATAATGTTATTTTCCCTTTTATAAAATATTTGTAGAAATAGAATTTGATAATAAAACGAACACTGGTACACGAGTCGTGGGTCTCGTGTAGGCTATCCTGATTGAACATAATCTGTACTCACGCCACACGCGCTGATTTGACCATCCCCAAAGCATACGTGGTAGTTGTAGTTGATGTTGATGGATGGGTATGCTGCATTACAATCTATATCATTGATGATCCTGTCCTCTCCCCGTCGTAGAACAGGGGCCACTGCCCCTCCTTTGAAATTGACGCGTATATTTTATTTGTAGATTGTGATTGGATGTTGGGAGTTATTCCGTCAAGGGTTAAACGTAACACTCTTCACAACTGGGATGATAGTGAAAAGTGTAGGGGATATAGGAGTAGAGAGAATGTGTACGTTTACCCTGTTAACTGGACGCCCCTAACTACTTAGTATGCTTAAGGTGCCATGGAAATGACAAAACAGGAAGTGACAAAATCTTTTGCATTTATAGACATTTTTTGAACAAAGATAACAGAGTTCTGTTTTGACCTCCAGTCAATTCAACTAGTGCCACATATTTACAGGTCCAGGATCCCAATGTTCCTAAACATGACCCTAAACATGATGAAATAACCTTTTCAGCCCTCTGAAAATGTGACTGAAAAATAGCTAAAAGAAGGAGCTAGGAAAGGTCACTGAACAGAATCTTTTGAATTTTTCAGAAAATGTGCCCAATATATTGCTATAAATGATACAATCTTTGAAAGTTTGATATCATAAAATTGAAAAAACTGATTTGAAAAGCGATCTATTTTCCTTTTTATGACCGCCATTTTTGCTTCAGACAATTTTCTAACATTTCAAAAGTTGTACCAGTGTATCATGTAAATAATATGTGGAAATAGTTCAATTGACTGGAGGTCAAAACAGAACTCTGTTATCTTTGTTCAAAAAATGTCTAAAAATGCAATTTTTTTTGTCACTTCCTGTTTTGTAATTTCCTGTTAAGTATCATGTCACCTTAAGCTATATTTAAAAATATGTTACGAGAAGACGTCGCATACCGAGCGTTGCAAATTATAAAACTCGTAAGCAGGAAGTTCATCCGTTTTGTTACATTGACGTTCCGTCAAGGTAACTAGTTGTGGAACAGTGCTAATCGGTCACACATGTGAAAACTATTGTATACTTTGAACTGAAGTACCACCAACTGTAGGTAATAGAACTAAGAAATAGCACCACATACGACTTCGAGCCAAATTATAATCCACATCGTGACTTATAAGTAGATGTAAATCGAGAAATAAAAATATCTTACCAAATTCAAATCCCGGAAGTAGTTCAGCCATGATACACTGACGATACGTCTGTGTTACTAGGTGGGTAGCAGTGATTTTGTTCCAAACTGAATCCAATTTTGAACAAAACACTCAATCTCGGCCGGGCGCCGGGCGATGAATCGGAGCAAATGTGACCCAGGCATTAGATTAGCCTTGCCCAGGGCTGTGACTTTTTATTTTTTATTCATTTTCACATATTTGAAAATCAAGATAGATAAAAGATAATACAGACTTGGGCAAGACTATTATATTGTTGTGTAATACCTTCGTATCTGCCCCATCCGGTGATATTACAGAATTGGTCGAAGAAGGTTGCTGCACTTGGTAATGGTATACTGTGTACGTAGGCATTGTATGTGGCAGCCTGATGTCTGATGACTGCGATGTTATTTGGGTAACCGTTTGCTTGGTCATTTGAGAATGCTGGATTCTGTCAAGACAATAGAACACGATTTAAATAGTACAACATGCTCCCTAATGGCTGGGTCACATAACTAACTAATGCCTGGGTCACATTTCCTCCGATCCATCGGCCGGCGCTCGGCCGATTGAGTACGTGTTTTGTTCAATATTGTATTCAATTTTGAACAAAATACTCAATCGGCCGGGCGCCGTAGTGAAAATCGGAGCAAATGTGACCAAGGCTTGAAATTCTCACTTTGGAATAATAAACACGAATCATATTTATACAGTACATAAAACCATTCTTCCAAAATCATCTCAGGACAGAAACGGTTTGTTGCAGATTGATAGGCTTTGTGGACAATGAACCATTGTATCTGTTTTTATCATTTTGCAGGACTTGGGTGAAAATATTTAAAAGAAACGTACACTTTTTGTTAATTAGGAAAGAACCTCGTTTTGATAACTCACTATGTCTATGGTCAAAACGCTCAAGAACTGTTGCTCTGGGGTGTTGGCTAACTCATGTAGTCCAGCAACTACTCTGTACTCTATTGGATCGCTGAAATCGAAATAGAACAGTATATTCATGCCGTGCTCTTAAATACCGTAAGGATTGATCTTACTAGTTTCCGAGTAAAGATGGGATAGTTATCCGAAAAACAGACTCAAATAAATTCCTCGTCACATAAACTGGAGGAAAGATATTAAGATAACAAATCAATCACATGGGCAAATTACAATTTACTCATCACTTATGATTACAAAGAAAAATGTCATACTCATCTCCGTTTCGAAATCACAGTTTTGGAATTTGAGAAGAATTGCAAACGACAATACAATTCGATACGATACGATACCAATACAATACTACAATAGCCTACATGTACCTCGATCTAAGGAAACATGTCGCAGCAGTGATTGCATACTCAAAGAAGATCAGAGTGGCACCACAGACATGACTCCATCCTGTCGATGCGTTAAATCTCTGCAGTGAAAGTGTGTAAGGAAACTCTCCTTTATTTACCTCCACACCACTGATGATTTGACTGCTTGGGGCACATTGCACTGAAGATACAGTATAGGAACATAAATGTGCAACAAAATGTTCATCGTCTGTCCAGGTATTTAAGCTACTGGTGGGAAGAAAACACATTTGAAAAATTGCTATACCTGCACATGTTATTTTCTGGTACAAAATAAGGTATGAAGGCAAGCGTGTTTTCCTTACTTTTTCAGGAAAGTATCATTACATTGTCTTCCATTAATTAATATATCTGTACTAAGAGGTCAATGGCAATCCAGTGTTATTGAGAAACTTGAAGAAGAAATTTGGAAAACTGAAAAGACATTCATTTTCCTGAAATATCAGCATTTCTTGAATATACCATTTAGTGTGCGCCAAAACTAAAGAAAATTCCATAAACCGATGTTGAGGTAGCTTACTATGAAGTAACCCATATTCATTATAGATTGGTACATTAATGGACTATTCATTTTTACTGCAGTCGAAAAGGTTACACGAAAGGGCTAAACGGCTTGCCGCAAGGTGCAACCGTCAAAAAGATGAGATTTTTTTTCAATAATATATATGATAGTCCATTTGGGTGTGGTCATTTTTATTAAAAACAATAATGGTAAAGAATTATATATTTCTGACCTTAAAATGCCATTTTAATTCAAAAGTCACTGTTGTTAATAATAATATTCCAATTTTACCTACTCAATTTTTCTAAGCATTTCAATTATCATTATATCATTTTTTGGCAAAGTAAATAATTGTAGGCCCCACACAAGGATCAACTTTATTAACAGCCTTTTTTCATATTTAGTGATGTTTTGAAAAAACACGAAGTTTAACACAATTTCATCTGTTAATTGTATTGTATTGTATTTTGTATTTTGTTTACCACCAATGAAGGTGAGCAATACCTCTTGGGTATGTCCCGTATATATACGGTCATAATTTACGTAATTAACATGGAAGATAGAAGATAGACCCAGAAACCCCTCCTTGAAGGAGCCCTGTTTTCTTTTATGTGCACTTATACATAGACATACAAGTACACACCACAGCCTTTTGTACGAGTTGCGGACCACTCAGTCAAACACCCTGAAGTACTTCACGCAAACAAGCAAATTTAGTCTTGCCTGAACCGGGGATCGAATCCGGGACCTATTGCGTAAGAGGTACCTGCGCTACCGCTGAGCTACACGGGTGCAAATGTTTTAACAATATAATAATTATGTGTTTGTTTTGTTGTTTCAACTGATAATCACAATTCATTGCTCTTGCTCTTAAAGTGATATATACCAGTACGGAAAAGTCTTCAATAAAGATGACCCTTGTGTGAGCCCCACAATTATTTACTTTGCCAAAAAACTAATATAATAGTTATTAGGATATGCAAAAAGCATTTGATAGGTAAAATAGGAATAATATCATTAGTTTTTGAATAAAAACCATTATATACCAAATTCACTTCGGCAAAAAGAACGTTATCTGGGAAATTTCAAAACGTCTTGATTGCTTCATATTATGGCCTTTTTACGTCCTGGTTGCTGAAGTGAGGAATTCTCACTCGATTATTAGACCCCTTGGCGTTTATACTATTGACTGATTTTGTTATAAAGACTTTATAACCAGGTGGGGATTAGTGAAGTAACTCTTTTATGAAAAAAACTTGTCAACGTGACTGATGATTACTGATTGAAGTCATTAACCTAATGTTTTTGTAACGACCCTTGATAGCAAGTTGCTTGGCTTAAGCCTTTATAGCTCAGTTGGTAGAGTATCAGACTTTGGGTCCAATGGTCCTACATGTAGGTTCGATTCCCACACGGGGCATTGCATTTAGCACACTTTCTTTCAATTTCTCTATCTGGCTTGTTACACTATGCTCGTTAGTTAGTCATTCCCATGGGGCACCCTCGGGTCATTACATTGGTGTCAGATGTGGGATCAAAGCATTGGTTGTATCCTTTGCGCCCGTGTGTGCTAGGGAAAGCAGGGCTGACCACGAGGGCGTGGTCCTTTCAAAGGGGAGATAGTGTTACGACCCTTGATAGCAAGTTGCTACTACAGTCCAGCTGTAGTGGCTTAAGCCTTTATAGCTCAGTTGACAGAGTATCTTTGGGCCCAAGGGTCCTACTGTAGGTTCGATTCCCACACGGGACATACATGACATAGTTAGTTAGTCATTCCCCTGGGGCGCCCTCGGGTCATTACATTTTCTTTTTAATGGAATGTTAATGACTTAGAAAACAAGTTGCTACATTTAAGTACAACTGGCTATTGACTTTTGACCTTTTCTGATTCCTGTGATGAACTTGCCCGGGGGCTTTAGAGGGCTTAATACTTAGTTATTGACTTTTGACCTTGAAGTGACATTGGCCCATCAGTAATGACTTTGACCCCAAGTCGACAAGTCATGGGTCACTGAGGGTCACAACATCCCCCCAAGTTCTTTAAAACGCCAAATACTTAAATATTGACGTTTGACCTTGTGATGATCTTGAATTGATAAAAACGCCAGATACTGAGATACTGACCGTTGATCCTTCGAATGACCTTGACTTCTGGTCACATGTCAAGTGTAACAGCAGCCCCAAAAAACGCCTAATACTTAGATATTGATCTATGACACTTTTCCATTCATATTTAAATGATTTGGTCATGAAATAGTAGGTTAATCTGTTAGCCGAAAGTCGAAATATGCAGTCGCAAGCAAAGCGTGTGTCAACTAAAATAAATGGAAATAAATGGAGAGACATGTAAATGATTGATTAAGAATTGAAAAAACTACTACTCACCGACTGACACAGCAAATAAGAAACTACAAAAATATAATGACATATCTCAGGTTATTCTTGGTTCCCAACTTTTTAATGGTATGAAACATATGGGATCACATTACACTATATATAAAAAAAGGTCAGTTACATTGCGAACTCATTTTTTTGGGTGAGGTGAATTGCAAAATGTACTCGTTGTTCGATCCACAATGAAACCCATCATAATTTCATATTTTGTTTAAATTCTAGGTCTGTGATTGGTTGATTCGACTAAACAATTATAATGTTGCATGGACTCCATGTATTTTATCACACGTTTCAGACGCCATATGTCAAGTTTAGTTTACTCGTCTAAAGTGCTCACCATAAATAAATGCCACCTGGATTTTCTATCACCATTTCCAGATCATGGTGATTTGAGACTCCATATTTTCTAATAATGTCTAGATACACATCCCTTAAGTTTTGTATATTTTACATTTTGTATACGCTCATCCACTGATGTATAGCCTCTTGAAAATTCTCTTCTTTTTTAACACGGGAAATTCTCACCATAGCAAATCCAGGTGTCATTTATTTATGGTGAGCACTGTACGTACAATCCTTTCCATTAGTTTGGAAACGAATTTCTCCGAGTGACCTAAGTTAAATGATGGATTCCATCATTCGGATTCAACATTTTTGATTCTGTAATTTCTCCAAAAGGATGAAGTTACACAAGACAACCGACAACCCAAGAACTTCGAGATGACATACATGATTACACCAATGTGACAATATCCATGAAGATCGTCAACGTAACAAAAGCGATGGACTAAATATGTGAATTGCGTCTTCCTTAATATACCAAACATAGAACCGCCTGCATATTCGCAAACTAGACTATCTTCCTTAACTTTGAGCAAAATTATTGTCCACACTCGACAACTTGACTTATAAGTGGTGTAGAATCGAGAAATAAAAATATCTTACCGAAACCGAAGCCCAGAAGTTCTTCCATCTTGTTACGCTGACGTATCGTCAGCGTAACTAGGTGAGTACCAGTGAATATGGACTACGTAACATGAACTGTAGATTTCAGTATCCTACATATGGCCGAGCCAAGGTGTGCGTCCGCCGCCGGGGGTGTACAAAAAGTCCTTGATCCTGGGTCCCGATGGCCTAAGCTGATAAAAAGTAATTTATTTACAAAACCCGTTGAGAAAAATGTCGATATTAGATAAAAAAGATTGTTGGGTTTACAATCAGTACAAAAAAGTGCAGACTTAATGGCTCACATTTTTATACTTTAAAAAAGTAGGGTACTATATAGATATTGTATTGCTAGAATGAAAGTGATGATGAATTGTTATCAGTATCTTCGTGAATAGCGGCATACAGTCAGTCTGTTTATGAAATTAAATGTATGTTATCCCGTACCAGGATAGTCCTGGTACGGGATAAAAATGTATGTAATTCAGTAAATGTGGTCTGAATGACAGAAAGAGACCGAACTATAATAATTATTATATCACTGGCGGACCTGGGGGGGGGGAGGGCCAACAGAAACAATTGGGGCCAATAAGATTTTGAGCCAAAGTGGGCCTTTTTGGTAATAAATGGACCTTCTAAGGCCTTATTTTTTAATTTTAGGCCAAATTTTGAAGAAAATGGGCCTCGAAATTTGGGCCCACTCTTTGGTTTTAGGGGCCCAAAAAATGTCTTTGTAATTGTATAAAAAACCTCCTACCTCATCATACCCACCTTTTTTATACAAAGCCCAGAAAATACGTTTTTAGTGAGCTGAGGCAGGCATATGTTTCTATGTTTCCATGGGCTTTGTATAAAAATCTCGTTCCCACGTAACGTACAGTTTGAAGGGTTCAATTTGAGATTCTTAAAAGATAATTTAATTACATGTACATGTAGTCAATGCTAACTTAGATGTATTTATGCACCGTAAGAGTATATTAAGATGTGAAATTCGTCTACGGCCAAAGATCATAGATAGATAGATATAGAGTCATAAAGTCAGAATTGTTAATTTTTTATTGTTTGTCAAAATAGCACCATAAGGCTCATTCAATTTGGGAAAACGCTAAATTAGTTTTAAATATGTTTGGGATTTGCTTAATTGAATTCTGTTTCCATTTAGCACCCATTCTCAATAAGAATGCAAAATAGGTGACCCAGGGCTCAATCTCAGCATTTACATTACCAACATCACTTTTTGTTGTATATATAAATAGTATATATGACCCTCTACCTAGCACGTTTGTAATATATGATTTCTCAGTTACACATATTTTATTATATGTACTAGAATAGGGCTATTCATCAGTTACGTGACTGTCGCCATATCAAAAATCAGGATTGTATGGTGCCATTAGAGAATTTTTCATGCATAACATCCCATATAAAGTGGTGTATTATACACAAGACGATCCCAGCTTCTGGTTAAATGACAGAAACTATCATTTTGACATTTTTACCATGTTGAAACTGTTCCTTGACCAATGTCGCCAGACTTTTTTATATCAACCCCCCTGTGCTATAAATCAAATAAAAACTGGTGAAAAATTAATGTTTCATATGTGTCATATACGTATCTGGATTCCAATTTGAATACTTAATAGAAAGTCGTAAAAGTTGATATTTGAAACGTTGAGATTTTGGGGCCAGAAAATTATAATTCCCGTTTTTCATGAAGTTATAGATAAGAAAATCATTTACGTGATCATAGTTTTCACAGGCAATAAGTGTCTGAGCAAATTAATGTTATATCACCTTATTGTATGGTAGGAGTGATCCTTGTTGATCAGTATTTTTTAACTAAATTGACATTATTTGAATATAATACAGCCAGCAAAAGGGTATTTGCATCATTTACGACACCATCATTTACGATACCTAGTAGTACGAAAATAACGGTCACCATACTCCTAGCTCTGAATAAAGTTTATAAAGCGGGAAATTTGAGTATTCATATTCATTTGAATCTGAAAAAAGAAACACTACCACCTTTGTAGAGTAAATCCACACAATTTAAGGTATATATCACACCTAATATAGTATCTCTCTTGTAAAACGAAGATGTAGTGTTAATTTGATGTTATCTATGGCATAAAGACAGTCAGTATAAATGTGAAAATGAATATAAAAACACTTTTCTATCATTCAATTTGAATTGAAGCTATAGTCTTGCGTTTTCTATGTCATAAATTACGTTACCATAGGTAACGTAATTGATAAATTCTATTGCACACATTTTCTGTCGTCAAATCTTTACAGGTATGTTCATTTATCAACTTGTATACTTTTCGTAGATGGGAAAGCATCCTGCTGAAATTCAAAAAGACTATAGTGATAGGAAAAAGCACCAAAAAGAGCGTGCTCTGGTTCATAAATGCATTGTCTCAATAGCTGAGTGCAATATCTGAAAAAGATAAAGACCATAAAAGAAAAAATTATGTCATTGCGCCCGAGACATGTTATGTTAGTCTCAGATAGCGTAATAATACAGGAGACAAATCAAAAAGAAGAGAGACTGTTAGCAATGACCCAAGTAATGCCGATGACAATGATTGTGACCGTGTTTATGGCAGTGGTACAAGTAACACACAATTAATAGTTCATATAAATTTTGCCTGGAATTTTGCAAGAGGACATGCATGGCTCTTTAAAAAACGGATAAGTAGAACTTGGGGACGTACGTACCCATAAAAAAACAAAGCTCCCTGAACATAGATAAACATGGAAAAAACAATCACAAATCATTCCAAAGGATCTTACAGAAGCAGAGAAAAATAGAACCAAGGGTCCAAGCACGCCAAAACACCAAAGAGTGCAGGGGAAAAGTGATGCGATGCAAACTTTAACATAGTGATATCCCTAGAGTTGAGGAGAAGATTAGTACGAGGAAAACACGTAGTTGAAGAGTTGAAGACGCAACATGACTGGCGGGGAAATGCCTGAAAGAGTGTTCAAGTCTAGTTGATATAATATGACTAAAGGCGATGGAAGGTGATACAAGCTTAAGGGCCTTGCTTGGCTGGACAAAAATGAAATGAGTACTCGACGTTTACCACAAGCAAAGGAATATAAATTTGTTGAAGCAAATAAACAGTGTTAAAAGCGCCCCTCACAAAAGTGAAACAAACCAGGAATGACATACAAGAAGAGACAACATAGCTATCCAAGAGTATTCTGACAGGGCCATCATGCAGACTGAGAGTGGAGATAAAGAGCTACATCTTGGCGATTTTTTTCACTGCAGTTTACAATTACTGTTGGTATGTCGAAAAGACACTTCATGTAGATACTGATGATAATAAATAATATTTTTTAAGAAAAGAAGAATCTCCAATGGTCTCTAGAATGTTACGTTATTTGGCTGAGAGTCTCAGATTTTGAGTGTGTAGTAGAGGAGTCAATTCCAACAGGGAAGTTTAAAGGGCTATTTAAATTCTAGATCTGTGTCCTGAGATTCAAACTCGTGTTCTATTGGATTTATTTGTCCAAGCTAGGATTAAGTAACGTTTTCAGGAGTTCATATGTACCTATGATATTAGAGGGAGACACTGAATGTTGTTACTTTTTGACGATAATCACAAATTATATAGTATAGTTTTGATCTTGCGATTGTAAGTTTTGTAATCACTTACGTTACAAAGGATTTAGCATTACAATTGTGTGAAGAAAGACTAAGTCCCTTTAATCCTGTATATATTCATTCCAACATATAGCGTATGTGACAATATATTAATTCATTACGTGTTTTGTGCATAAATAATGTTTGTGTTAGCTTTAATGTTTCTATTGCAAAAGTTAGTTAATTTCTCCATCATTTACGTTACTTGATGGTCCACTGAACTACGTTTGTTTTAAATGTTACTATTGGTTAAAATGCAGTGTAAACATGATTAAAGAAGCACCAGTTGATGGTTTAACCATGATCACATATGATATGACTCATTCTACGATGTTACTATTTTTGGATCATATACGTTACCAAGGGTGTAACGATATACAAATTTCAAATAAATTTTGTATGGCATAGCAAACACCAAGATATGGCTATCAATTGATTCTGAACACTATTTCTAATCAGAAAAGAAAGATAAATTTAATGTTAACAGACTGATTTTCTATAAAATTGGAATGACATGTAGCACTTAGGTTTTGTTTCTGAAAAGAAATAATAAGTCACATGTAATTGTTGACTTCAATGTGAATTCTTTCCACTTATGTCTCTTCAAAATGCCTGATGTATGATTTAGTATTAAGACAAAATATATCCTTATTGTTAGGAACAAAAACAGACATGAGAATAATATGTTGAATGAAAATATAGGTCTCTTGCTACGACAACCCTCTATAACGTAAATGACAGAGACCTACTTTTTTAAATAAACACTAGATAAGCTTCAACATGTGACTTTTCCATGAAGGGGTATAAGATTGATGAAGATATTTTGACTTTAGATACTTAACATATATTCAAATAAAAATACATCAACTTTAAACCATTCAAAGCTACTTTAATTTTCGTCAGATTCATACCTGGAATTTGCATTCTTATTGAGAATGGATGTTAGGCTTAATCACAGCATGAGTAACGATGATTTTCGTCTTGGTCGTAAATCATGCTCAACACACGACAGTTTAATCATGTTTGCTTAGTGCATTTCGTGGGCCAACATGTAGGTCTCATAGATCTAACATTCAACTTAGTAATAAAATAAGTGCTATTTCATTCACTAAAATTGACTAGAAGCAATCTGCATCGTTTTTTATTTGCTGTGAGGAATTTTAATTCATAGGGGCATCCCCCTTTAGTGGGCCCAGAATTTTTTTTAGTTTTTAAGCCCCACAAATTTTGTGTGGCCTTAAAAATGGGCCTTTTTGGTCATAATTTGGCCTTTTTGGCCAATTTATCAAAAAAGTGGGCCTTACTTGCTTACTTTTTCAAAATTTTGGCCCAATTTTTGGTTTTAGGGGCCCAAAATTTTTTCCAGACTCAATATTTGGCCCCACTCCTTGTTAATTTCTGGATCCGCCACTGACCTGGGATTGTGAACCGTTGAATACCAGTGCGGTTTTATGTTTCGAAATATCGTGATACCTCCAAGACCGCCATTCTACCAATACTGATTTATTTTTACTTTTTGATTTTGGGACGAGTATTTTTATTTATCAAACCATGTTATTTTATTTGCACACAATTTGAATTATTGTATTTCATAATGGATGAGGCTGGAATCGAGGCATCTCTGGAGTTATACAAAACGCAAGTACGTCTCCTCAATCTCAATCGGGGTTGAGTATTATTTGAAAGTCTTTATTATCGCCCACAATAATACCAGGCGAACTCTCCTTCATTTTTCTACCATTGAGATGAGTGTTAAAGGCTGTATATCAGAATCAGTCAGCATCTTTTGACATAGGTAAATTATGTGTACACTATCTGGATTATCTTTGATATTCATCTTGTGGAAAATTCCATAGGAGACAGGTTACCTGAAAAGGAAGATAGATATCATTATCTCTTATCTCAAGGACTGAAACTGAGGCAAGTCTACCCTGGCTGAAATCAGCTCTGAAATAACAATTACTGCATGTCAAGCCTTCATTCAATGCTGATTTTGTAGAAAACAGATCTGTCCATCCTTCTACATGTGAGTTTTTCCCATAAAGATGCTTGATAAGTAGAAATTCATCAAATTATACCCCTAGAATATCAAAGTTCAACTGTACATCAATCGCGTGAGGAAAAAAAACAAATCCATTCTTCACCTTCTGTTCACAAACCCTTCTTCTTCTTCTTGGAAAAGTTGTCCCTCATTTGACTAACAGCAAATGTGTATGTTTATGCAGCAATATATGTTAGTTTAGAAAATGATTAATTACAATCTTACCTGTACTTCACAGAAACATCCTAAGTATGAAAATATTTCACTAAAAATACATGCTTCCATTTTGTCACATGTTCATAATAATTTACATATTGACCATGTGATGTTGACAGGGAGTGTAAACGCACCTAGCGTACAGGAAATATGTTATGATATTTATTAAGAAATTAGGTATGGTAATCATTATTACTTATTGTATTAAGCCCCCAACCCACTTCACAAAGTTCATGAAGTACCAAGGAAAGACCAAATATTAAGTAAATTAGAAAAATTTGAATTTCCCAAAAAATCAAGTGGGCGATAATAGAGTCTCTGAAACATTAAATTTTTCCTTCATTAACTTATTACATACATTATTTTTAGATAATATTAGTTTGATATGGTGTGGAAAGCACACAATGATAGATAATTATCGGGAGTATGCATTGAAAATTACAAAATATGTCACTTTTGCCATGTTTCAGAGGCTCTATTATCGCCCACTTGATTTTTTTGGAAATTCAAATTTTTCTAATTTATTTAATATTTGGTCTTTCCTTGGTACTTCATGAACTTTGTGAAGTGGGTTGGGGGCTTAATACAATAAGTAATAATGATTACCATACCTAATTTCTTAATAAATATCATAACATATTTCCTGTACGCTAGGTGCGTTTACAATCCCTGTCAACATCACATGGTCAATATGTAAATTATTATGAACATGTGACAAAATGGAAGCATGTATTTTTAGTGAAATATTTTCATACTTAGGATGTTTCTGTGAAGTACAGGTAAGATTGTAATTAATCATTTTCTAAACTAACATATATTGCTGCATAAACATACACATTTGCTGTTAGTCAAATTAGGGACAACTTTTCCAAGAAGAAGAAGAAGGGTTTGTGAACAGAAGGTGAAGAATGGATTTGTTTTTTTTCCTCACGCGATTGATGTACAGTTGAACTTTGATATTCTAGGGGTATAATTTGATGAATTTCTACTTAATCAAGCATCTTTATGGGAAAAACTCACATGTAGAAGGATGGACAGATCTGTTTTCTACAAAATCAGCATTGAATGACGGCTTGACATGCAGTAATTGTTATTTCAGAGCTGATTTCAGCCAGGGTAGACTTGCCTCAGTTTCAGTCCTTGAGATAAGAGATAATGATATCTATCTTCCTTTTCAGGTAACCTGTCTCCTATGGAAAATTCTGCAAAACTTTTTGCACATAAACCTCTTGTTTTTTACAAGATTCTTACCATAAAAATTGGTGAATATGTTGATGAGATGTTAATTTTATTGAGAAGCAAAAATCCCCTAGCCCTCCAGTCTTTGGAGAATATTGCTTGTGAAAGATACACATGTACATGTATTGACCTCAATAGAATGAAATATTTGTATATTTATAGGATATCCTATGATTTTGAGGAATATCATTATTATCTACTCGGTGATATTGATATCTGCACGAGAGAGCAAAGCGAACGAGGGCATATATCAATATCACCGAGTAGATTAAAATGATATTCTGAAAAAATCATAGGATGTTCTTATTATCCTACACTTACAAGATATACAAATGTATAACATCATTGCAAAATGAATTTCATGCCAAATGGAGTCAATTTGGCGGGAAATAAACAAGCAGAGTATATCGTCACAATATCCTGCGCATATTGGGTTTTCCGGAATATATCGTTAGGATATCCTCCGCCCGGAGTATATCATCACGATATCCTCCGGTTATTTATTTTGCCAATAAATATCAAATTTATTTTTTGATGTTATTCTACATTTAGTACACTAAGTGTAGGATAATATTTAATTATACTCTCATCTTCAAAAATATTTCAGCTGGGCCAGGTTGAAGTTGCTCTGCAAGCTGCTGGTGGGAGCGAAGATCTTCTCAAATTGCGTAGCGATCTACAGGAGCTGATCAAACTTACAGAAGGTACACATATTATTATTGTGCTATTTTATCACCAGTAAGACTGATGGTGATGCTTGACATACATTCAGACATTGAACTGTTTGAACAAACATTTTTTGTGATAACCATTGTCACAGGAACTTGTAGCACAATGATATATGATGCTTATGCCAGATATGAGTCAATATATCTATTTATAGATAGATATATTGACTCAGATCTGGCATAAGCATCTCATATGATATCATAGTGCTACAAGTTCCTGTGACCATTGTCCATTTTATGTCAGACTTGGCATTCCACATCAGTAACATTAACATGACATAATATCAACATTTTTAGTGTGGATCGCTATTTTGTTTGGAAAATTAATCTTGGAATATTCTTTTTTGGATAACTTATTGGTCAACTGCTAGGGTTGATTGGCATTCCTGTCGGTTGCTTCAACAGCTATTGGACAATAGTTTTATAAGCTAAATACATTACCTTAGCCCTGGTTTTCCCTGGTTCCTGATTTAGCAGACCATTGGAGGAGAAACATTTGTGTGAAGTTGTTCTGTTGGACTTTCTCACCACTCAAGAAAGGTCTATGATTCAAATATACTGTTTACTATTAGTTCAGAGGTTTCAAAAACAGCAGGCAACTGGGAGTTTTTTCCAGTTGTTTTTACCAAAATTGTTTTAAAAAGTTATTTCCAATAATTTTGTCTGTTGTTATAATTCTTTTGTTTGTTGTCTGTAGTGATGTAACATAACTTGTAACTTAGAATTGTACCTAATGCCTTGTAGACAGTCTGCTACAATTGAGAAAGAGTAACCTACTCTCTATGCTAGGTGAAGATTCTCAATCTTCAAAAAGTAACACAACACAAAAGGGCTCAAGTACCAGTGCCACCCATTGTAATGATTTAGATGATGAATTTGCAGCATTTCAGGTACTACTTAAATTTACATGCTTTTGGAATAATTTTTAAAGACTGTTGCTCTTGAAAAAGATAACTGTTAAGATGGAGTGTAGTGGATGGAGTTAAATTAAAATTAAAACATGTAAATTCTACTGATTTTGATTTCAGTTGAATGGAAATATTATTCGTCATTTAAAATCACTGTGACAGTATTTTATATGCAGTCTTCAGTTCTGAAAACTGTTTGAAAACTGTTTTTGTTCCAGTGACTCTGTCACATTGCTAGATCAAACTGCTATATATCTCCATGTTTAAAACATTCAAGTCATCTCATTCTTGTCAAGGCTCTTTGCATACTTCATTATATTTTAGGCTGCTATAAATGAAGAGGATTCAATATCCCAGAATACAGCAAATACCTCACAAGAATCTTATCACCCTACCCATAATGCAATAAATACCTCACAAAAACCATATAAGTCTACCCACAATGCAACAGCAAGCAAAGATGATAGTGATTCTCCTCAAAGAAATGATGCATCATTGGACAGTTCATTCTCAGATTTATGTGGAACTAGGTGTAGAGTGCCCCACAGTGAGGACTGGGGACCAACATCATATCACAATGCAGTCATATTGAAAGTAGAATCCATTGACCAAGATGACACAAAGGTAAACATATTTTGTCAGACCAATAAAGAATATATCAGTCTGCACAAAGACACAAACAAAATTAATCCAAAGGTGTTCCACTAAAAATGCAAACTGACACTCTGATGACACCAATATAGGGAATATAAATATGGTAAACAGTAAAACAACAACATAATTGATCCTGGGTATTGAACTTCCACATATATATGCACATTAGTGCATTTAATCAATGCATCACAGAGTCTGAAAAATATTAAAGTTTCTGGAATGAACTAGATTAGGCATATACATTACTTTGCACTATTTTAGTACAGTTGTTTTTTGGTAATAAATCTATGATGATTTTCACAATTCTGTTGCATTAATGTCCATTATAATTATTGCCAAATTATTTCACATTCTGACATCACTTATATATATTTATCCCATACTTGGACGTGTTACAGGTACATAAAGCCGGTTTGTAAAAACTTATATTTTCATCAGCGGGCAGATATAGCTTTACGTCCCGCTCAGAGCGGGCAGATATAGTATATCTGCCCGCGACGTCATAATCGCCGCTCGCATATTTGTTCATAATTTGTAACGTTCGCATAATGACTGTAAACGACAATGGAGAAAACACAGACAATCGGGATCTGGTTGATGGTTTAAAAAAGAGAAGGAGCATCCACTTAATCAATCAGAAATTCGAGAAAATAAATGTGGGAATATTTGAGAGAACAGGAAAATCCGTCCACGGCCAAGAAAACAAAACTGGACATGAGTATTCTAGAATATTTCCACGATTGAACAATGTTAACCAAATGACCAAGATTGGTATGGGATAAACATATTATCCTATAGTCGGTTCAAGATATTGAGATTATCCCTTGGCCAATATAATATATTTTCCCTCGGGACCTGCGGCCCTCGGGCAAATATATTATATTGGCCTCGGGATAATCCCAATATCCTGAACCTCATATAGGATAATCTCTATTTATCCTATGCCAAGTAGAATTTTAGGGAGATAAGTTGGTAAGATATATCACGTATCCTGATTTTGAGGTTTCCATATCCAGAACCTCCATATCTCCTGCTTCGGTGCATATCTTCCTGCTTCTGGTAATGCAATAAAATGACTTGATTTGTTTATTTTTACACCTTGTACTATTGAAATGGCCATATGCCCCTGAAAACTCTACTTGGTATAGGATAAAGCAGTTATGTATGGTTGGTTTGGATATGGGGTTCATCTCTCGTGAGATATGCACATCTACCTTCGGTCCCTACAGTCCCTCAGGTAGATATGCATATCTCCCTCTGGATAAACCCCATATCCAAAACCTCCCAGTACATAACCCTTATATATCTTTAGGACTTTTTGTAATGTGTATACCAGGACTGTCAAATATAATGGAAGATGTTTTGTTTAATTTTAGATTCGAGTGTTATTGTGTAATCCTACCAAGCAATCTCTAAAGCCATGTTCTTATTTACTTGATGGGACATGTAGGTTCTCGGAAGACTCATGCAGGTATGCTTCATGACTTACTAGCCGCCTTAAGGATTGTCCGGTGACATGCATGTACAATTCAGGTGTTTCTTACATTAATATAGAAAAAGTTTTAGAAATATTGGATCATAATATCACAAATTATACTGAACTAAAATGAAATGGACAAAAACAGAATTTTAAATCATGAAATTAAGAGAGTCGTGATTATCATATTAAATAGTCAAGTTATGTGATAAACATGATCATCAAATCAAATGTCTTTGCAGTCAGTTATTGAGCTGGAATCAGTCAATCTGAATGAACATTTTTGAAGAAAACTGAAAGGGCATATTATATTTTTCAGATATTCACATGGTTTTATTGTAAGTGTTGATGACTTGGAGGAATACAAGGATCCAGACTACAGGTAATGAATTAGTTATCCCATCGAACGAAGTTCAAAAACTTTAATAGCAATATGGCGTCCTTTACACGCTATTTTACGAATATTGCTTTAACCATTTACATGTGCCTTCTTGGAAGCATATTACACTTTGTTATGACAATTTGGCTAGTGTGCAATCATTTTGAAAATGGTGGCCCATTTTTGTGTGTTATTCTACGATTTTTGCTATAACTGAAAAATTACATGTAGTTGAAGGATTTTGTAGAACCAAAAGGATTTTGGCAGCCATGGCTGTTGGGATTTGCTACTATCTATAGCAACAACTAAATGTTACTATGACAACCATTTGCGAACCAAATGTCAACATATCTTAGCCATATTTTAGGGATGGTTAGTGGAATGTTTTATGCTACCCCTGGGAATATTTTTGCTCTAGTCATTGTAAAATAATAGTTTTAGTGCAAAATTAGTTTTACTTATTGAATGACTTGTACATCTTTCTATTTTTCTTCATTCAGTCAACTGCAAGAAGGTAGGAGATGCCTGGCTAAGTATGAAGATGACCTCTGGTATGAGGCAACTGTTGACGATGTTGGCCATGAGAACACATGTGCAGTTAAATATAAGTCTTATGATGAGGTGGTGGAGCTACCCTTTGAGGACATACTACCATTTGGTGAGTTGATGGTTGCAAGATTCCAACTCCCAATCATAGGTCACTTAATTGATGATTTTATAGATTATATTTACAGTTAAATGTACAATGAACCCTGTATATCCAGACATCTCTCTTTTTCGTTATATCCCATTGACTCACATTTAAAAAAACTTGAAGTCTGAACAACTGCCTGTCCCAGTGTTTTTTTCATTAAAAAGGTTTGAATGAACATTGTATATTATATTATATGATTTCAGATCATGGGTCAACAGAGGAATCAGATGAGGACAATTTAGATACAACATCAGAGGAGAATAAAACATTAGAGGACAATGAAATATCAGACGACTCCTCAGAGGAGGATGCAGTTCCCATGGTACTCTGGGATAAACCTAAGACTCTGCAGTGTATCGGGGAATGGGAGACACACACAAAGGTATGTTAAGATACCACAAAATAGAATCATTTAGATTGGTCAAACAGTGCTTATACTGAAGGAGTGTCAAATAGCTGTTTGTTTTTTATTTGATTTTGCTTTAAAAAGTTTTATGTTATCTGTAGGGTATTGCCTCTAAGTTGATGGCCAAGATGGGTTTTGTTGTTGGCCAGGGTCTTGGCAAGAATGGTCGAGGAAGGGCGGAACCAGTCCCGATACATGTACTTCCACCTGGTGAGATGAATTTAAATTATTTGTTTATTTATTGAATTACTAAATTGAAATTTGATTTATTTATTATCGCACTTTAAAAAGGTGCTATATTGCGATGCGTGTGGCTGCCACATAAGTCAAATCTTGTCATCAAAATTACCTGTTCATTTTTTACAGATGCAAAAGCAGAGTAATGCCAAGATCTGATAAGGTTTAGACTAGTGTCAAGATCTTAGCAGGTTTTAGTTATGCTGGTTAAACTACATGGCAGACATTTTGAATTTTTTAATAAATCAACCATTTTGAATTTTTCAACTTGCTTCAAATTGACCAAATTATTTTTAAATAGCCTATCATCACTGAATAATATTGACAATGCATGTATTTATATTAAAGGACGATGAATCACATCTTTATAAAAGTACTTATTTTATTCTTCGAAAGGTAAATCCTTGGATCAGATCATGAAGCTTAAGGAAATTGCTGGAGAGAGAGACCTCATAGAAGTGATGAAGAAAGAAAAACGAAAGACAAAGAAGCAGAAAAAACAAATGGAGACAGGATACACTGAAAAGAAAGAGAAACAGAATGTGTTTGATTTCATCAATAAAAAGTTGGGCCATAAAAAAGGTTAGCTTTTAGTATTCACTTTATTCCTTATCATCCCAATGAATTGAATTCAAGTATATGACTGCTAAATTAAAGATGGGCACCATGAGAAACATTATTGGCTTTAACTTATAAAAATGTCTGCCATATAGATTTGATGCCATTTTGGGGAATAATACATATTTAATAGCCTGCCTACATGAAAACTGTTCAGCTGATTTGGTTCATACATTTGGAATGGTTATGTGTCTTGGCCATACCATGGTTAGTTATTGACTAGCTTTAGCATGTTTCAAAATGAGAAGATTTTCAGGGAGTTAACATAAATTGTTTGATGGGATTTGGTACATGTACTCCATTGATATACTGTTTTTTATTCTACTGTAGCTGTTTATTATTTTCAGCAAATATAAACGACTTGGTGAAAGGCCATAATCACTTTCTCACCAAATCGAGACGTGCAGAAATCTCTGAAAAAGATTTAAAAAGTAAAACAGAGAAATCAATCAATGTTCAACTCTTGAAAACAAGTGAAGAATTGAGGAATACTGAAAAAGAAATTGTGAGACTGAAACAAGGATTAAAAAGAAATGAAGGACGGTAAGTCAACGTATAGTTTTAGAAGCATTATAAAGGATTTCAGGTCTTCTGAATTGTAACAACTCATGTCACTGTTCACAGTAGTTTTTATTGTCGGCCATTTTAGTGTTTTCCCTCATAAAATCTTGTCTTATCTATGCCTTTACAGGTGAACCATTTGATGGATCGATTTTATATTTTCAGGGATGATTCTCTTGATGAATATCTCGAACAGTTTTTTTGGCATTCTGGGTAAATGTAACACAGCCATTTTTGATTTTCCGTCGTTAAATCTTTGTCTGTAAATTCTTGTTTACACATTTTCAGGCAAATCGTTTAATGGATCACTTTTAAATTTTCAGGGATGATTCTTAGCATGATAATCTGGAACTGATTAGGTTTTGATTAGGTTTTGAGTGACCGACTTATTTGCAAAAATCACCATAAAATTCTATTAATAACCACATCGCTGTCAAGTTCACTTACTTTCACATCACTGTCCTCTTCGCTATCGCTCAGAATTGTAACCTGGTGATCACATAATCCCCTTTTTGGCATATATCTACATATTTATACATTCATATTTGTTTATGTTTCAATTAAAATACACCTCAAAAACGATAAACAAAGTCAAAATTTCGATTTTATTTTTATTTTTCTGAACATTTTTACTACACATGCGCAACCTACAATGGACAAAAAACAAAATCTAAAAGTATAGGGTAGCATGGTCTGGGAACACAAAGTTAGAGGCGGGAGATTCAAAAGTCGTAAAGTCGTAGAAAGTCGTATTTGGTCCCTTAACGGTGGCCATTTTGGATTTTCCATCCTAAAATTTTGAATATTGAAACATGGAAATCAAGATGATTTCAACTGACATCTAGTCTATTTACGTAGCAAGTGCCAAATGTTTTTACCGATTCTTCAACAAAGAGTGAACATAATCACCCTGATATAGCATGACGGTTATGCTCTGAAAACAAGGTTGGACGGCTACGTTCACTGATTTATCCAATAAAATGGCCGCGATGGAACAGAAAACTAAGGTTGGTGCATTATTTTCTACTACTGTATATCAATGAAAGGATGAACGATTTATGTAAGCATCGCATTCAGTGATGCATCTAGAAATGTATATTTTGAACGTAGTCTTTGCAAATTGATGCCCGGGGATAACATGAAATAAGCGAAAAACTGTAGTTTGAAATTCAAAACTACACAAAATTTAGTAATTTGTCTATTCTTGTCATTAGGGCATGGTCTACATAGCCTTACGACCTCGGGTATATAGATGTAACCCACATACGATCGTAAAAAGCCAATTGAGCATTCGAAACCACCTAATATGGTACGCAAAAAATTGATGGACGGTTACGAAAACCTCATTCAAATATGTATCCCAGATTCATTGTTATTAATTTTGTCATATTCATCAGTACTTGATGCTAATTCTTCTTTTGCCTCTCCATTGCTATCTTTTTGACTTTCATTGGTTTCATGAATAAAGCAAGACACAATTTTTTCCTTGCCCTATAGAGGCTCAAACAAGAGCGTCTTTTGCGAGTCCTGAAAACAAATATAAGCAATTCAATATTCTATTTTTTATCCATTTTAACAATGACATGGAAAAAGGCTATCAGAACTAGCAACCTTGACTTGAAAGGTGTACATGCACGTAACCGTCTGCTAAATATCCAATGTACAACTAATACAATACATTACCGTCCATAGAATTCATACATAGTCGTCTAACGTAAGTGCGTTTGAAACCCTATTATTTACAATATACACCACGTTCCTGATGATTTGTCATTTATGGCTTGTTTATACACAATTTACTTACAGTAAATAGTTTGAGTGGCTCTGAGGCACATATACTGAGAAATCATGAAAATGGATTAAAAATTATGAACTTGGATATATCAGTCGGTAAGTTTACAGATTATATTCTGCTTCTAGTAAACCACCTGGCAGATTTGACCCAGTCTTTATAACCATCCATATATGCGTCACCGAATGGAACTACTGTAGTTGAAAAGTAAATCTTATCTGTGAATCTTGCCTACAGGCGAGAAAGAGGACATGCTGTCTTTCCCATCCACCATTTTTTGTTATCGTTACCGCAAAATTTTGCAAATCGCCTTGACTTAACCGTCATGCTATAACACCATGATAATACTAATAACTATGTGCATTCTTCTCTCAGATAAACAGATTGTGAATATATTTTATGAATAATTAATGAATAGATAGTGAAGCCATCATAAGTAGTAAAAGGATAAGATATTAAATATATGTAACATATGTCCTTGTCAGTCAAATAAAAAGTTATACTTTTACAGGGGTTTCACTCAAATTCAGGCTATTATGATGCTAAATGAATGAAACCAACAGGTAAAATTAATGGAAATCATAAATTTAACATGGAAAAGTCACTAAAAACAACAGGCAATTTTGTAAAAACAACCAGTGAAAATTGCCTAATTAGACACCTGTTTTTTAATATAGATGCTTAGAGTTTATTTTGTAGCAATGTACTAATACCATTTAAGATACCTTTGTATCTTGACTAGATTTATTGCCATTTTTTTACTTTTGTTATTGACACTTCTGTATCATTAAAAGTAAGACAAATCATCTCAGTATGTTACAAATGAATAACAATTGGAATAAAAACAGATTGAGATAAAAGAAAATTGAAATAATTATTACTAGTATGTGATTTATGTGATTTATGTATCAAATATTATTGTTGGTCACTGAACACATGTAACATATGGACATGAATAGAATACATAGTTTTAATCTCTGAATCTGTAGAGGAATGACTAAGGTCATTGTACTTACAGTAAGGACTGTAATTTTTTAAACTTATTTCATATATCTTTTTTGTGTATTCACATACTTCCAGAGGGTTAAACTGTGTCTCAAATCAACCATACATTACACTTAGCATTAAGGTTCCTTTTTCACATTTTCTTTTTTTCCAATTTTTATTTGACGAGGAAGACTGGTATGGGTATTGCAGTATGTCTTTAGGAATCCAAGCAGATACAGAAAATATCCATCTCGCTTCATAGATATGGTGCAAATCAACTAACAATATGATGATAAATATTAGATAATGTGGCAAGTCGACATCATATCATATTTTCAGGGATCCAAAAATGGCAAGAACTATCACAGCAAAGCTACAATCATTGGAAAAATACATGGAACAATTAAAGACATCAGAGAAGTCTATAGAAAAACATCGAGAAAGTAGGAAGGCACATAAAAAACTAACAATTTTTTGATCATTCATCTGGAACATGGGTTTTCAGGTGCATCATCCATGCATAAGACAACTTCTCCAAATCTGCAGAAAAATATCAATACAGACATTTTTCTCAAATAAAACTGTAAAAATAGTACTGAAAGTATTACTGTAAAACGGGTATTGTTAGCGAGGGGTAATTGTTAGCGATTGTTAGCGATCGCTAGTTTCGCTAAAAATTCAATTCGCTAAAATAAACCGGGGTTAAAATAAACCGGGCGCTAAAATTTGCAAATTCCCGGGAAACTACATGAATACTAGTATTTAAGGAGCTTTTCCTTCACTGCTCGACTTCCAGTTTGTAATTTGAAAAAGGTATTTTTAAATCGTATGTTTCTTTCAATATCTGAAGGATAAATAGCCATCCATCAGTGAAATACAGTAGTTTGGACCAATACCATGTGCGTTAGAAGTCTTACATTTTGATAATTCCTCTGTCATGTCCGTTATTCATTCTTCTGCCATAAATGATAAAATTTCTAATGCATTTCACTAATTTGATTTTTCAAAGATTAATCATCATTTCGCTAAAATTTCCTGCGCTAAAACCCCCTAAAATTGAAAAATCGCTAAAATTTCCCGGTGTCACAATTACCCGTTTTACAGTATATTGCTTTTAAGTCAATTTTTGCCTTTTTAAATTTCCTGGTTATACCTCTGCTAGCTTAAAAGCATTGGGCCTTTGATTTTGAATAAAATGTTGTATGTGAGAAATATTTATAGTTTTTTCATAATTAATCAACAATAATTGCATGATCTGAAAAGACTTTGCATTTACCCATCTACTATAGCATAGGTGAGAAAATAAAAAATATAGTACATGAACCATATAAAACTGACATTTAGTTTTTTCTATATCTTGTTTAAATTACATCCAATCACAACTCTGGTGCTAAAAGTCATGAGATTATTTCATATTGAAAATATTAATTTTGCAAATAGACGTATCAATCCACTAAAACAACCATGAGACAAACCGAGAGAAAGATGTATCTGTAGAATAAGAATCCTCACATTTCACCCAATACTTTAGTGTCAGTTGTTATTTATTTTAGTATCAGATTAGAATTTCTGATTATGATGGAATCCAAACTTAAATATTGATGAGATATGGCTGGAATTCTAAATAATTCAAAACTGACAGTTGACACTAACATTGCAGTTTATAACTATCTATATTAATCCAATATTCTTATTAGCATGCGCAGTATCAACACATATTTTAATCCATTATTCATTCTAAAGAATGGCTACTGTAAAACAAGTCAATTTTGTCAAAATTCTCCATATAGACGTTTTCACCTTTTGTTAAGAAATCATTTAAAACATGTAACCGAACTATTTGTCACAAAATATACAAAAAGCTCAGTTTTATGGGACTTGATTTATAGTGTTGACTTAAGTAGCATTCAGAAATTCAACTGACGGCTGACGGACAAACCGCTATTTTTAAATCAACTCAATTGAATATGAATAGAGGCTGTTACTATTCATATTCATATCTAAATGAGTTTGCCCTAAAAAAGCGGTTAATCAGTCAACCGGTGATTAAATTTGAGAATGTTAGCTAAGTTTCATACTCATGAGAAAATCGTTGCTTCAGATTTTGTCAGTTTAAACAAGATACACTACAATCACAAAAAAACGTTGCCTTTATTACATATGTAATTTTTGTCAGAAGAATATTTCAGGCTATCAAAGTGAACTTGCTATTAAAAATTATATTATATTTCATTGGCAAAACATATACTACAAAAAAGAATTGCACATATTTCAAACTCACTAAATTAAAATGACACGAAATAAGATTGAGGTACAGTATATCATAATTCGCAAAAAGCAAATGCTACGTCATCGGAATATTTGTAACATTAAAGGTAAAATCAGATGGGTCGTTACCGGTATTATTCCCACTGACACTGACGGAAGGTAAGTCTATTTTGACACTACAATCATTTCTTATATTAAAAATTTACATATACTTTCAAAGTTTATGCTTTAAACGGTCATTCTACATATAAGGAGACATTTAAGGTTCCAAACTTTTGAAAAATGAACTTCGTTTCATTACATTCATTTTAAGATTTTGATTTTGTTTTATGTATCCTCTATAGAATCCCAAAGTTTTGGTATTTTAACTTTTACATATCAAAAGTTACACTATTTTGAAAATAAGAGGTGTAAAATTATAAAAAGCGTATAGTTTAAGGTTCGTTCTCGATACCTCTTTTATTCTATGGAGATTTTAGCTAACTTGATATGCGATGTCTTCCTCTAGTAATCTCTATTCTATAGATCACTAAGGAACAAAACTATAAATTGTATTTGGGAAATCACTAATCATTTTAATCAAGAAATAACATAAATTTACGTTGTAATGCATAAATGCAGTCGCTTCTCAAAAAAATTATTTTACAAAACGCAACACTGCCATGTATTCTCATGATGTTTAACACAACATGTGAAAAGTTATTTTGGGCATACAATGAAACTATGAGATTTCGCTTTCAAATCATCATATATTTGTATGTGGCAAAGACATCTAGTAATAATCAGAAATAAGTTAAACTTGTCAGTGCAAAACAACGTCGCTTAAAGTAAAAATTGACGCAATTGTTAATCCACCGAATCTTTCTCGTATATACCCAAAGTCTTAAAACACAAGCTCCTGTCCATTGTATTGTCACCATAAACCATTTTATATCTTTTAATAGAGATAAAAAATTACTTTGAAAATAATAACGTATCTTAATATCATTATGAAAACATTTTAACTCGATCAATATCATTTATTTATTTGTTTAAAAGAATATAAACTCGTGATATGACCAACTACAAGCAAAAACAACTTCTTAAGCAACAAAACATAAAATGCTTCATATATAATAGCAGAGGCAAATGAAAGGGAACGTCGCTTAAATCTAAGACATTTCGTTCCTTCACAAATGTCAAATGTTTACTTCGCCGGAATAAGGCTTTAGCGAACGTTTTCACTAGATGTGCTCTACTTTTGCAGGATCAATTCCATGTCACTGGCGGCGATTTTCATCATCTTATTTCAATTGTTTTCCATTTAGCTCAGCACGGGGCACATAGTATCGTCTTCTTCTGATACGTTCCTTTTCAAGGTATTTTTGTCCCTCAATTCTTTTCTTTCTCTACAATGCGTATCAAAAAAAACGCAACAGATTGTTATCTTGGAAAAACACAAAACCAGTGATAACAGCATTGATTTCATTTAATGCACCAAAGCTATGTGTCTCCTCTTTACAATGATATATCATCCATTGATATTTGGTCATGGTCGGGTGAGTAATCATTCCATTTGAAAAGTGGGCCAGAATTAGCTTCGGGCCAAGTTATAAACATTGCAAAAGTCAGTGTACGGAGCCCGATGCAATATTGGACGAAAATATGAAACCAATGCTGACTGCATCCTTTTAATTCAATGTACCAAAAAGCCAAATTACTCCTCTTTGCGATGAAATATCATTCATTCACAGGTAGTCATCTTTGTCCGAATAATCATTAATTTTGCAAAGTGGGGCAAAATTCAACTCGGACCCAAGTTTAAAACATTTCAAAAGTCAGTACAAGGGGCATAGGGGCTATTGGAAGAAGGTGTGAAAGGTATGGCATAGACAGTAAAGTGTTCATACTCATACTCTTGCAAGAATACATCCTATACACCTTCAAATTGCCACCACTTCCTTGCACATAAAGATGCGCTCATCTGTCCACGTCATGCATGGTTCAGCCCTAAATCATGTGTGGGTTAAAGCAAAGAAAAGTAGCCCATGGGCAAATCTTTCTCGAGGTTTTGCAATATCTGGTGGAGGAATTGTGAGCACAGATGCTCCTGAGATAGCTCCAAAAGAAAAAGTCACAACAATTAAAGTCAGGGGAACTTCCATTGGCACTTAGCCCTTGCACTGATTTTTTCAATATCTAAAACTTGGCGCAGAGCCGATTTTGACCCACTGTGTAAATGGAAGGATTTCTCACCCAACCATTACCACATGTGAATGAATGACATATCATTGCAAAGAGGAGAGACATGGCTTTATGGTACATTAAATGAAATTGATTTAGTCATTACTATTTTTGTGATTTTACGAGATAACAACTTGTTGCGTTTTTTTTGATACGCCCTGTATAATTCTTTTGAATTTCTGCTTTAGTCTTGGCCATATTCTGCAACAAATTGTGAATTCCCGGGTTAGTTACCACTGTTAAGACAGAAATAAAACAAGTATTAAGTGACGTTATCAAAAGCAACGTACCTTAATTGATATAAAACTCAAGTCGTATGTGATTTGGGAAAAAATTTGACATCATGTTTTAACAATGACCAATTAAGTTGTTTATTGAGAATATCTTTCAACCGAATCGGGATATCCTAGATCTTTGATTAACCAGCTTTGTTTAGGCAAAAGATACAGATGTTGTACTTACGCGATTGCTGTATTATTTAGGGATTATTAGGAAGAAATCCCTATTCCTTAGACTGCAAATAAAGTATGGCGTATCATGAGATCACGTGATGACCTCCTCCACTTGAGTTAGTAGCATTTATTGCTGAGTTATCAACTTATTTCGCACTTTCCGTAACGTACCTTATTGCAACGTACATGAGTAAAACTCATTACATGTTCCAATAAAGCAATATAACAGAGCGAACAAAGGTAATGAGCACATTGTATTGAATGTCCGCCTTGTCATATTCAAGAATTTATTTGCTAATTCCATCAAGATATTACAAAATGTTGGGAAATGTTGTAACGTACCTTAAAATCCTTATCTTTTGAATTGAAAAATGACACCTTTATGACCTATAACTTTTGTTCTGGATAGAATACAGTTTTTAAACATTGCATGCATTTTGGTAAACCATTTTCTGATAAAATATCACTCTGGGTTAAACATTTAAGTAATTCGTGCATTCTCTAGAAATTGAAATATCTAAAGTGGTATTTTAGAAAAAAAACTGGCGACATGGGTTCCGGGCATCTGATTATTAGGTTGGAAAGGATTAAATTACTCGAAAAGTTGGTAAAATAAAGTATATACCCACAGGTATCTTTTCAGGAAGTTTGGATGTGTTCAGAAATCTATAACTACTTCAGTTATGCTTATAAAACATCACTATGCACTCTGGCGACATAACGTACCTGAGGAATTTGTCATCAAATTAAGTTAGAAAAAATTCTCACTTACTACCAAACAATTAAAATTTGCTGTATGGTGGTTGTACAAGTGGGTATTGGTCCTAAGTAGATGTTCTTAAAAAATGTCTATATATATCTATTAACGCTTGAGAAAAAACCCTTGGCGACACGAATGTCTGCTTATATGTGGAATGACTGTAAAATGCATTGATCTCCGACTCTGGCTTTCAGAAAATGATGAGTCTGAAATGAGTACACCCCGGGGAGTACACAAAGCTTGCATGTTTGGGAATTTCAAGTTATAAAGGCGCGCATAAAATATCTCATTTCAGCCAGTTTTTAAGTTTGTGCTGGTCCAAAAAATATAATAATTTTGGAACATTTTTAAGCACATTTGGTGGTGTAATACAGGCTGTTGGGTGGTGCCTCGTAATTTTATAAAACCATTTTAGTTACGTTTGGCTATTTTGTTGAAACTCACTATCAGTCTGTTAATATTCAATTTATTCAAATTCATGAAATCGTCGTCCACTGATTCGTTATTGTGTACAACCGACCGAGGGAACAAACGTTTGGAACGGTCCTTGTATTTCAACACTGTGGCTAGTCGATCTATGTGGATGCAGTCAGACACATGTAATGTTTCGTGAGTACCCGCCTCTGTACTTTTCAATGGAAGCATTTTGCACTTCTGTTTAAATAATCTATATTTACTCATCCGTGTATATCATACTTCATTGATTTACAAAACCAAAGCTACGCTATAAACACACATTCTCTGATATTTTTACGGAGAATAGATAACTCAAACGAGTTCATTCGACCAGTTTTATCATCTTGCTCATAGCTGTGAGAAGGTATGTATAAGTTGCCATAGGTTTACCTTATAATGGGGAATAAAAAAATCAAGTAATATAATTATTTCACGTACACAAATATGTCTATGTGAAGTAAAATACAAATACAATGCGTTTTATAATATTTCTGGCGTTATGGTATGAAATATCCGCTTTAAAAAAACAATTTAATTATGATGTATCATGTGGATTAGTAGACGTTCTTAATGGATTCAATGAACAGACTGGCTAGGTTTTAATTGACTCATTTTGAATGTGTGTTTTTTAATAATTTAATCCACAGTGTCCAAGAACAATAACAATGCTATATTGGAAATTGGAAAGATTCCACTTACCACGATTTCAAAAAAATTGTAAATAGATAATATTATTCTTGAATTTGGGTCATTTGTTTCGAGGAATCTGTAGGCATCAAGATTTACAGATGGTCTATCTGTTGGCTGCTCATTGTCACTTTTAAGGAATGTTAATGGCTCTGAAATGTGTAGCCTTACCCAAGTCGGTATTTAGTTACTTATTTGATCTTGAATTATTACCACCTTGTACAATCCAATGCATCATCGCTGATATTATTCAGCGGTTCCGAGATTCCCATAATACCTACGCTACCTAAGGTTATCGCGAAACATTATTGATTGACAAGATCGCATGGACACGACCTGTGACTTCAGTCTGATTGACCAATCAAAACGTTATCTGTTCTGATCAGGTGTTTCTTGAGAGTTACAATATATTATGTTATTAAATGTACATTGGAATGTAAGAAGTCATTAATACTCGTATAAATGAAATAATGCAATTCAATGTTGATTCGAAATGAAAACTGAATTCGCGATGGATATGCACGAAGACCTAGTCCGGCAATGTAGGACCGTCGTTGATTGGTCAAAATTTACCGACAAAAACATTGGGTCGGTAAAGCATGTGGCTTTCTCTTGGGTACAAGGCGGTTATAATAGAAATCAAGAGAAGTAAAAGAGACTGACTTGGGCAAGGCTATGAAACAAGGAATAGTTTGTATTTGTGTTTGAAAGAGGAAGGTAGCTGATGCTTTTGAGTTCTTTGCTTAGATTGTTCCATTTATTTAAAATATAAGGTAAGAAGGAGGAGGAGGTCATTTTTAATCGGCAGTGGGGTAACCTAAAATCATGGATATTTCTGAGTAAATATCTCTGTTGGGGTTTTGGATGAATGGTTGAATCAGGTCACTTAGGTAGTGGGTGCATTTTTATTAGAAATTTTATGAAACAGGAATAGAGCATGCATTTCTCTTCTTTTCTTTAATGTATCCCAGCCGAGCTCTTTCAAAATATTATTGCAGTTAGTGTGCCTATAAGCTCTGGTACATATGATTGCTGCATCCCTCTGAACTTTTTCTAAGATTTTGCTTTGGTTGTCAGTACAGTTATTGTATATGACATCACAATATTCTAAGACAGATCTTACCATCGAAAAGTAGAGAGTTTCCAAGTGTTTTTTTATCAAGATTGTATCTAAAAGCTGATCTTTTTATTAGGGATAGGCGCCGATTTGCTTTTGAGGCAATTTTATTTATATTAGAGTTCCAGTTCATTTTCGACTGAAGAGTTAGCCCTAGGTGACAATCTCTTCGACATTCCTCAAAATGGTATTGTTGCAAGTTAAATCAGGGTAAAGAAATTTGTTCTTTTTCAGAGTTATGGTCAAAAGTTTTTCTTATTTGCGTTAAAAGTAACTTTCCATGTTTTGGACCATGCTTCCAGGCGTGCCAAATCACGTTGTATCTTATTTGTACTGATTAATGGGTCTGATACAATCTCCATTAGAGATGTATCATCTGCAAATAAGTTAATATCTGTTTCCATTGATGCTACTATACCATTAATATAAAAAAGAAATAATAAAGGGCCTAATATAGACCCTTGAGGAACACAAGCTTAAAACGCCAATCTGATTCGATTCCATCAATAACTACCCGTTGTTTTCTATTTGAAAGGTAACTATCTATCCATTTCAAGAGTTGGCCAGAAATCCCATGCATTTGTAATTTGAAAATAAGACTAAGGTGCCAAACTTTATCGAATGCCTTGGAGATATCTAGGAAGACAAGAATTTATTTTTGATCATCTAAACCATTATAGATTTTGTTCACTAAGTTCACTAACTGATTCACAGCTGAGTCAAGTGGTTTGAAACCAGAGCTTTTGAGATTCGGTATGTTGTTTATTAAACAGAATCTATAAATAACATTAAAAACAAGACGCTCAAAAACTTTGGAAATGCAAGAAAGTAATGAAATTGGCCTATAATTTCCCTTGATTTGTGTATCATCTTTTTTGAAAATCGGCGAAACATTTGCTTCTTTCAAAATATTCCAGTTAAAAGAGAATGGTTGAAAATACCGCATAATGATGGTGCAAGTCCTAATGCACATTCTTTTAAAAGTTTATTTGAGACATTATCTGGACCATTTGATTTAGATATATTGAGAAGAAAGGACTTTAAATACTTCATGCTCTTCAAATTGAATTAGATCAAGTCTTGCATTAGTAATATATGTCAAGTTTGGAAGAGGCGGATCATTTTGATTAAGTGGTAAAATAGTTTAGTCGGCAAAGTAGTTATTCAAAACGTTTGCCTTGGCTTTAATGTCAGTAATTATAACATCATCATTTTCAATGAGAGGAGGTATACTTCTCGAAATTTTTGAGCCATATAATTTTTTCAAAATAGTAAAGTATAATTTAGGTGAGGTTTGATTGTCGGATAATTTTGTTTTAAGTGAATTAGCAAGGACGTCTGATAGACGTCCTTGGAATTAGTAAGGTAATTTTTTTGCTTGGATGATTGCGTGTTTAACTTCGGTTCGTTTTCTACAAAATTTCTCATGATCATTTAAATTGTTAGATATTTTGAATTTATAATGAAGAGAATTCCTCTGTTTAATGAGACTTTTTATTTGTTTAGTCATCCAAGGTTTGTCTCTGTTTGAAACTGTAATGATATTTCTGTGTACATACAAATTCACACAGGACCAAAATAGCAAGTACCAATCTCGAAGATGTCATCTATGTTAATGTTGTGAAAATAAATTACCTCCCATGGTAAGGAGAGAAGATGGTCGCCTAAAAGCACAAAGTTTGTGTTTTTGTAGTCAAATATTGTTCGTTTATATGTAAGTCTTGCTTAACGCTTAAAACTGAGTGTGCCAAAAATGAAGCAGTGGTCAAGATTTGCAAGTGGTTCACCTACCCCTGAATTCAAAATAAAAGCTGGGGAATCTGTTATTATAAGATCAAGAATAGAGTTACCTCGAGTCTGTGTCTGGATCATTTGATCAAGATTGAAATGAGAAAGTAAATCAACAAATTTGTTGCTTAATTCGCTTTGATTATATTGGGAGTCCCATGAAGTGCAAGAGTCATTAAAATCACCTAGTAAGACAAGATAATCTGGTTTCAGATTCACTACTTCATTCAGATTTTCAGATAAAAGATCAATAAAATGGTCAGCCTCAATTTGGTTCATTCCTGGAGGGCGATAGCAAGTAAACTTGATTTGTTGGCATTCCAGTGGGTTGATGGGTCTTTGGCTCTGAATTCACTTCATTGGCGTACCTAATTTCAACATTTTCATTGTCATCGTTACATGTTATGGACCCGTTTTTCAAATAAAAGTATTAGGGATAAAACCATAGTTTTTTCATCTGTAATGGCATTTTCCAGTTGATGGGTTTATATATAGTATTTTCAATTCTTCATGAGGCGGGTGTCTTGTAATGGTGTGGCTAATCACTTTACTGAGTGAGGAATGTTTATTCAAACAATGGATACAAAGAAATCTGGCCAGTTGTCCATCAGTAAATAAATCATCATGATTAAAGTATAATTTAATATAGCATCCATTTGTTACCGTTATGAATCCAAATGATACATAGTGGCATCCATTTTATACATATATGTTGACGTTTACGAAATGTTTTTCAAATATCTTCCCTATAACAGGAATATGGAAGCTGAAACTTTCACACATTGTCATACTATGTATATTGAATATGTATGCAAGATTTCAAGTCACTATGTTAAGTAGAAACTCTGAGATCACTCACTTCGATTTGCTGTCATATTTTTGCAATGATCCCATTCCCTATAATGTACGCGAGTACCCACGATACATTGCATATAAATGACTGCATCCACATAGATCGACTAGCCACAGTGTTCAATGTAAACTGTAGTTCATGGACTGCTGATACGTTTAAAACGCAAATTACGAGTACGCAGTGACGGAAATTGGGGTGGGGTGGGGGGGGGGGTTAGGTCCCCCAATAAAGTGAGACCCAAAAGGTTGGTAACAAGCCGATCTTACTTGGTACATGTACTTATTGATTTTGGGCCTTTTACAATATGTTCTGAACGACTTATTTTGTTAAGATTCCTACAATGCATGGTACAATGCGATTGTGGCTATTGGTCAATGTTCTGACTTGCTGCTATGCTGTCAATGTCTCCTCGTTGTTCGGATTGGACCCTACGGCACCAAAATGTGAGTTCGTTGTTTTGTACAACACTAACCACTAAACTTACATAAGAACCTGGCTTGTTATTCCCTATGATGATATTTATAGATTTTCACTCCTTGAACTTTCATCTTACAAGAATCTAAAAAATGGAAAATGGAACTAATTTCGACAAGTTTTCTGGTTGTGGTTCGTCCAAACTATTTATTTGTCCAAGCTCAACATCAACATCACGTATAGCCCACTTTATTCTCGAAATCACTTCGCCGAAAACAATTATCAAAATGTAAGTCATCAGTCGCCTTGATTGGCATCCCGTATATAATATTTTCTTTATAGTGACTCAATTCAGTTCATATTAAAAGGCAATGTCTATCAAGTTAAATACACTATTTTATAAAGTGAAGTAAGGTTTCACTCCACATAGAGAACTTATATTTTCCTTAGATTCCGATACCGTACATTTGAAAATGAGATCAGGCCTTTGGCATAATTGGTACCAAATTATTTGAACCCAACTTTTAACAGTAGTTTACAGCCGGATTTGCAATTCTCGATTGCTTTGCTCAATATGGGAATTGTGATGTTTTCAATATATTTTAAGTTCCCCACTCTCGCTGAAATTAGCACTATGTTTAATTTTGTCCATATGTAGAAACATCCTCTTGATGTTTTAGCCCTCTGTATGGACCTCGTCTTCATGGTAGATACCTCATGCAGCGTTGCCGATGAAGATTTTCCAAAGATGCAGAAATTTATGACAGATATGGTAGATGGAATTGAAGAACTTAGTCCTTTAACAACAAGGGTATGTATCAAGGTTAGGTAGGGATGGGGTTGTATAGCAACACTAAAAAGGACAACCAGCTACGATATCAACATAGCAACCATGATGATATTTATATACCTCGGGTTAGAGGTTATAATCTTTCATCCAATCTTGGCCCAATCTTGGTAAGTCAACCCCTAGACAAAATCATCTCTGCACAACGTTAACTCCCTATGTTCGATTTCCAATTGATTCCAAGATATTCTTGCACTGAAAATAAGCTGTGTTTACTATTTAGATTGTACAGATTTATGTACACAGATTTTGATCCCCTTGGTTTGGGGGAAATTAATCGTCCTGTATGTTTTGAATTGAACATATATAATTCAATTCATGTGTTTTATAATTCACGTGTTTTATATTGAAATAATTCTATAAGAGATAGACACATATTGAATGTGTCATTTATTTAACTTGTAATTAATTCACCTACTCAAAATATGAGTCAATACAAACCCAAATTTAAAATGAGCGTGTCTTTGTGACTGGAATAAGAAATCTGACTTTTAAAGCATAAAAACTAGACTTAATGAAGCAACCCCACAAGAAGTTGCAGATGACTAACTAAACGATGCACTTTTATGAGCATTGTGAACACTCTGAATGTCGAACATTCCTTTGCCAGTTTGCAGACACGCCTAGAACTTGAACCTTTCAATAAAGACAATAAAGTGAAGGATTGTAATCTATTTTACAAGTTCAACGCATTTTCAAATATGATGTTAATCACCCAATAACATAATCATAAACGTTATGTGGTAAAGTATGATTTTTCCAGGTTCCAGAGAATGATTTATCTAGGGATTGAGTTGTCTAGGGATGAGTTGCCCATGGATTTGCAGGGGTTGAGTTGTCTAGGGATGAGTTGCCCATGGATTTTCAGGGGTTGAGTTGTCTAGGGATGAGTTGCCCATGGCTTTTCAGGGGTTGAGTTGTCTAGGGATGAGTTGCCCATGGATTTTCAGGGGTTGAGTTGTCTGGTTACCTTATTCTTCCGTTTGCATTTCATACAGATTGGAGTTGGTATGTTTGACGAAGGGGCAAGAGTTGTAATTCCGATTGATGAATACACAGATAAACAGCAACTGAAAAACGCCATTACCTCTGCTAGCTTCAATGACGTTGGTTGTCGCACTAATACGGATGTAGCTCTCCAAATGGTTAGGTGAGTTAACTATGTCATTCCTCTTTTTAAGAAGGCCCTTCGCGAAATAGGCGGAGCTCTTCGTTCTTTGGATCGGGTTTGCACCATTCACATGACTTTCTCTTCCCCAAGGCCCGTCTTTATTAGCTTAAATGGCAGGTCGTCAAGGCAACTATCAAGTCGTCATATGATGCGATTTTAATTCTTAATATATTCGTTATAAATATGTTAAATATGCATTTAGTTCAATGTCTGTCACTTTTAGTGGTTAACTCCACATATCATATCAGATATGAGATATTTTTCTAGTGAAATATTCACTGGATCGTCTTGTTGAAAGAAATAGTATCTGTTTTTAGTTAAACCCTTAAACGGCTAGATAGAGAACTAAAACAACGGTTAATATAGGGGCAGATCTGCCCCCATGTTCTTATGGACAACAAACGTATTAGGTGTATCATAAAAATGAGAAATGAATAAATGTTATGCGCATTTGTTTATTAACAGAGAGGATCCTGCTCTACTTGGCGGTGAGAAAGTCGAAGGCAGGGCCCGGATCATGGTTATGATTACAGATGGTGTACCGTACTATAAAAAGAGAGAGGCGAGTTCTGGGGTCATATGTATAACATAATATATATAATGTCCTTTTGATTTCTGTTGACTTACCATTTCTCGTACTTTCCATCTATGAAAGAAAAAGTACTAAAGGGAAACCATTAAAACGATAATATCATACACGCACATACATACATACATATGCAAAACGACATGGAAACGCAAAGTTGGTTCCTCAAACAATTAGATCTGATTGCTTTTTAGAAATCAGAAGAGCAAGCAATAGCCGACACTATTTCCCAAGCCACACTGAATAAGGATGATGGGATCACTGGTATAGTTGTGATGGTGCGAAACAGTAATGGTCAAATTATCCCAGAAGACAAGCATTACATATTTGATGCAATCGCTAGTGAACCGCTAAATCAGCATAAGTTTGCCATTGATGACCTTGCAGAAGGAGTTAAGATTGTCTTCAAAACATTGGCCCGTCATAAATGTCCATGTAAGTTGAGGGGGGGGGGGGCGTAAGAACACATTTTTGTGGCTCAATAGGTGTTGAGTGTACGCAGGTTTTACTGTAGTTCCTAATCAAAATTCAAATTATTCAATTTTGCAGACACCTGCTCTAAAAAATTGGACATTGTGTTTGCGCTGGACAGAAGCAATAGTATCAGTCCTGAGAACATTAACAAGACAAAAACATTCTTCAAAAAGCTTGCCGACTCTTTCACCCTTGGTCCGGATCATGCATGCATCGGTGAGTTCTAATAGAATCTGCCCATCAGCTTTGAATTACAATATCCACACCATCCAAAATAGGTCAATCATGGGGGGGGGGGGGGTGAATGAGTGTAATACGTGGGGCTGTGAATGAGTGTAATATTCTACATGGTTGTCATCTAAAACATCGTCACCAGACATTGTTCCAAAAGATGTCCATCCTTGTTCCTAGTTCATCTGGCGGGTTCTACAAAAATAAAGACAGCCATTGTTATAATCCAAATCTCGTACATCCATCATTGTGATGCGCTCATACTAATGGCCATTTGTACTGTTTATGTTGCAATGAAATGTCTATAGATCAATGTGCTTGTAATATAAATACATTGAGACTGTTATGTCATTATGTAACAAACAAATTCATTAGTTTTTGATATCTGCAGCAATGATTAGTTACAACCACGATGTGTATCGCCATTTCAAACTTGACGAGTCAAACAATGCCAACATCGATAAGCTAATTGGTGATGTTCCTGAGAATAATGATAAGTTCACTGAAACATATAGAGCTTTAAAAATAGCAAGACAAGGTATGTTAGAATTTTAATGATTCTCGCATTCGTTATAGTTAGATAACTATACCGCTGTATCTCATATAATATCATGTTTATATTATTTGATATCAAATGAGTATCGCAGAAATATGGAATGAATTACATTATCCCCAGAATAAATCTGATATACATTACCTCCCTCGGCATCACCTTTAAATCTTTATAAAACCCTATGAAAGTACAATATTCCATTAGATAGACCCTATATTCAGACTTTTGTACATCTTATAAAATTGATATTCTCATTATTGAAGATATTCTTGGCCGTTCGAGTCGTGCCGATGCAACTAAAGTTACTGTGGTCGGCACCGATGGTGTAACCTGGGTAAAAGGTAACAGTGCAGCATCTCTGCCAAATCGAAGAAACCCAACGATTGCAGAAGGATATTACTACTCCCGGGCAAGGTTCAATTTAGTCCTCATAGGAGTGCCAAACGGAAATGGAAAATATGGTTATGAAGAATGGCGTCAAACGGCAACAGATCCTGATTTTGATCCGAATAACTCAGAATCTTCTCCTGATGACAATATTTTCAACCTTCAAGATGGAAGTTCATTTGATGATCTCATCTCTATTGCTCCTTATATTGCTGAACAAATATGTTCATTAGCCCCCTAAGGGTGAATTAACAAAGCTTGTTTGTAAGCATCTATTTCATCTGAATAAAGTTTTAAATTCTTTAAATCTGATTCATTGATCTACACGCCATTGTGCGAGACTCCTTGTTGTATTGTAAATTTTTTGTTGGAACCAAACATTCTTCGTAGTCTTGAAATTTGCAGAAGTTATAAGCCCTAACCAAACATCACTGAAAATCGATAAAATGTGAACTTCAACATTTGCGATTCTTGAACAATCTTCATGTGGAAATCGTTTTAGCTGCAGTCTGAAAATTCCAATGTTTTCTAACTTTGTTTGGTTTTGAATCCTGCACATTATAGTGTAAAAATTAGCATTCTGCCTCTGTTAGTTGCAGTTAATGTGATCCAAAGAAATGGTCTAAGTTTCTAAAGAAGAAAACATTTTCCATTGAAATAGCAACATACCCCTATATGGTCTTAAAATGTCAATATCTTCATTAAGCATGGCCCAATTCTCATGAAATATGGCTCAAAACAAAATATTAGGTTTCCTTTTGATTTTTGTAAAATATTTATATGAAGGGCTTCTCAGTTTTTGGGTCACATGGGGTAACTTTGCCCCCTCTAAGTGTTTGTGTAGGGAATATGCCCCTTAAAGCCTTGGTCACATTTGCTCCGATTTTTACTACGGCGCCCGGGCGATTGAGTATGTTGTTCAAAATTGAATACAATATTGAACAAAACGCTCAATCGGCCTGGCGCCGGCCGATGGATAGGAGCAAATGTGACCCAGGCATTACTGTTGAATGGTTAAAACTGCTTCAAAATGGTCAATGGAAGTGTGGAATGTGTTTTCTGTTCAAATAGTGTCCACAGGAAGACCACAGACTGGTCACCCTGATCACAAAGAAATGCAGTCAGATGATTGACACTGAGGGGAATAAGTGCCATTAAATATGATCTAAATATTAAATGGAATGTAAATGGATGATCAGGAATGATGTGAAATTATGGTTGAACTTATTGTGCTTCCATCTTTAAATATTGCAAAATGTATTTCACCAGTTAACCTTTCATGAAAATTCATGTTATTAAGATGTCAGTATGTTTTTAGAAAGCCAATTCCGGTGTAAAAGGGTAGGAGGTCCTTGAAATTATGGTCCTACTTTCCATTGATTTATATGGTGACCTAAATACAACTTACTCGTATCCACAATCAGGTCCAGTAAGGGGCTTTAAGAAAGGGGACCATAATCCCCAGGGGACCATCATTTCTTTTACACCGGGTATAAGCTCCCTAATGCGGGAGATGTGCCATATCTTGAAATGTATTTCTCTTGATGTGATACAGTTTTCACAACTTATAGATAATTAGTTGATCTACTTATAAACCAAATATTATGCAAATTGGATGAGAGTAAGCATGCCTATAAAAATCTGTTCATTACTTTTGAATCACCCTTCGTATACTAGTATTTGACCTCTATTTTCTAGGCCCGAAACGAAAGAAAAACTGACAAGTGTCCAAAGTAAAATTATTTCTAATAAACCTTTCATTGAAATAACACAGGGGGTCAAATATGTGTTCCCAAAAATACTTTGATGCTCTGAATCGTTAATTCTCACAAAGTAAGCATTTTTAATAAATGTCTTACTGAAGAGATATCCAAAAATCTGATTTGCCCCTCAGGCCCGTAGCCATGGTTTGCCAAGGGGGGGGGGGGACCCTGCGACCCCCCCGGGTTACGGGCCTGCCCCTTACCCACCATTTCTCTTTGGTTAGCATGGGGTTCTACCATTTTTCAATTCACCAAAATCGATATCAATTTAAACCTAATTGTAACGGAAAAATTGTATTGAAAATTTTTTGAGGTATAGACGAATATAGAGTCAAGGTACACATCCATTAACATTATCAGCTTCCTTTCGTTTCAGGCTAAGAAAACGGAGTTCAAGCATACATTGGGCTTAACATGTAAACCTATGAGGAAAAAGACTGGTCCTTAACTTTTTCCAAAATTTGAACACTTAAAATATCGATAAATCCCTACAAGCATTCATCGTATGAATTTAAGTAAATGTATTACCCTAATGTCTGCGAGGGAGTTTTTCGCGCCTTTGTTATCTTTTCTTCGTGGGCAACAGATATGACACATTTTGGCGTAAAAACCAAGGTGTTTGGGGGTAGAGGAATGATTGTCGGAAGTTGATGCCAGTAAAAATGTTTATATAATATTGATAGTTACCTTGTTTCTAGTACTGTAGAAAATGTAGTGATCATTATTACTCTGTTTGATAGATAATTTCAGCTAGGGTGCATTGACTTAACATGGGGACACCATTGACTCAAGACTTAGCATTTGGATACTATCACGTATGTCACCATGGGGATAGATACAAAATCCTCATTTTCTCAGAAGAACTCAAGTTAATTGAATCTCAACAAGTAGATTCATGTTGGATAGAATTGCTAGAATCCATTTTCAATAGTAAGCATAGGTTTTTAAACAGGACATTAAAGCCAAGGCCTTTTTGAATTTTTGGTTTGTACTAATAGTGATCAGACATATTTTGTTCGTTGAGATTTGCCACTCCGTTGCTTTGCTGTTTTTAGTTGACATTTTTAATTAAAGTTCATTTGAAACATTATCTTCCATACGTCAGGGAATTGCCTTACTTTAGGGAGATGGCAAAATAACCTGACACAATGACACGCAAGTTAAAAATTACATCCTGTATTAATTAATTTATTGTGATCCACGGTGTTTTAGTTAAATAAGATCAATATTTTGATTTGTTAATATCAAAATGCAACATTCGTTAATTTTACAAATTAAATTAATTTTTTTTGTTTACTCTGGAAAGTGATTGTCATTTTTTAATTTCGGCATTTGAAAGGTTTGTTCGATTTATTCTCAGTATCATTATCGTCTTCCTAAATGTATATTTTTGAGGCTGAAGTATGGACTGTTTCTTTGGTTTTAGATCCCTAAGATGCTTGGTGTACTTGTAATTCAACTATGGCTTTTTCTAAATGACAACTGCTATGCCGTCAATGTATCTTCGTTGTTCGGATTGGACTCGAATGCACCAAAATGTGAGTATGATTTAATGGTTGGCAGAGAATGACATTTTTCAAACATAAAGAATCCATTCATATTTGCAAGAGTGGCTTTCTTCAAATAAGAAAAGAAAAAAAATTATCAGTTGGATCCAGTGCAATTTAGGCCATTTGTATTGTATTGTTTTGTATTGTATTATATTGTATTGTATTGTATTGTATTGCATTGCATTGTATTGTAAATTTTAATAAATATTCTTTTTGTAGTTATTTGTATTTTTTAAATATAATTATTAAAAATTGTAATCTTTATACCGAATCTATACCAAAATACCAAATCTATGTAGCCTCGATTAATTTCTAAAGCAACCATAACTTAAACATTTTGAGACGGTCAAACTGAACAGTATATCTACCTAATATTTTTGAATGTACAATGACAATCATTGAGCATTTCAGGTTGTACTGTAAGAAAATACTCTACGAGTTACTATTCTTAAGTTGTATGATGAAACCCGTAGATGTTCCGCCCTCTCCTTTCTATAGGTGGCCGTCGTCTTCTGTGTTTGACGTCGCAAGCGAGAGCGATTTGGACGTTGGCTTTCGATAACCTACAATTTTCAATCGTATATTTTAGCACTTTGTATCGACTTGGTCTTCATGGTGGATACATCATGCAGTGTTGCTGGTGCTGATTTCCCGAGGATTCAGAAATTTATAACCGATATGGTAGATGGGTTTGAAGAACTAAGTCCATTAGCAACAAGGGTAAGTCCAAAATGGTAGCCTCCGATAAATATCAAAACCACCTTGTAGCCCGATCTATACTAGTATACGGTTTATCTCTCGGGTTATTTAATATTTGCCTGTATGTCGTACAGGTTGGACTTGGAATGTTTGACATGGGGGCTCGTGTCATCGTTCCTATTGATCAGTTCAGTGATAAAGAGCAGCTCAAGGACGCCATCACTTCTGCCAGATGGAAAGACGAGGGTTGCCGCACGAATACAGATGTAGCTCTTCAATTGGTCAGGTTAGTAAATCGGTCTCACATTTTAGTACGTAATTGTAGTAGCTCGTCTATTTAAATGCCATTCTAATGTGACCTTAATATACCGTAGTGTAATGGTGATGTATGTGTTAGAAATAACAATGGGTGAAATTGACTATGAGAGGAGCAAAAGTAAGTCTTCTTGTACTGTCTCCTTAAGGGGTCCAAGGTTGGGTGGCTGCTCATAAACCACTGCATTGAAGGAAACCAGTTACCTTTCCCCAAACCAGAACCATCTTAATTTTGGTTCTGGTTTTATTGCTGACCGAAACAGTTTAAACTCTACCTAGTGAATTGTAAGCGCGGGGACTGAGATGGGAATATAGGAATCAATACCGCCTATCTATCCAACTCATTATTATTTGCAACCATGTCACCGAAAGAACATCATTACTGACATATATGTATTTGTTTGCAGAGATGATCCTGGCTTACTTGGTGGGCGGAAAGAAGAGGGGAAAACCCGGATCATGGTTATGATTACAGATGGTATACCGTTCTATAAAGGAAACGAGGTTAGTTTTGGACCAATAACCCAGATGCGAGTAGAAATAATCTTGATTTACGTCATTAAAAATTCAAAATTCAGTCAAAGTAATATCATATTTGAAATCTACATCTAAAATTACATCTAGAAATGTGGTTTTAAAAAGTGTTAATCAACTTTGAAAAATTAATTTTCTTTGAAAATGTGACTTCTAACTCGGGGAGATTCCCCATAGACCCCATGCTATAAAATCACAAAAAATGAAATATCTTTCCTTTTAGTGGACAGATAATATTTTGCTTTACTGGATATATTTTCATTAGTATAAGTATCAGACGCATAAGGGTTATATGAAAATTGAGCCACTTAAGTTGATAATATTCAAGTTTAAGGGAACTTTCTTGTATATCTGCCATGTTAATTGACCCGAATCAGCCACCTGGTGGTGAAACTGGTAACTACCTACTCGCATTTGGGTAATTATGACATGATCGGAGAGGCCTAGTGTCTTTTCAAAAAACAGCTTTCATACGTTACCATTTTGAAATAGCCACCTGGAGCTGTATATTTTTGTATTTTATCTCGATTATTTGTATACTATTTTCATCGTGGTGACATATTGATAGTCTCAAACTTATTGTTGATTATTTACGGCGGTTGGTGGTCGACATTTGGCAGTCGGCGTCTGTAATAAACGGCAGTTGGTGACATTTTGCATGTTAATGCCTTGTTTGTATTGTCATGTTGATTATAGAGTTCAAGTGCTTGTTTAAAAGCAAAATGTTTTATAGAAATCAGAACAGCAAGCTATAGACGACACTATTGCCCAAGCCACACTGAATAAGAAAGATGGGATAATCGGCATAGTCGTGATGGTGCGAAACAAAGACGGAGAAATTATTCCAGAAGACAAACACTACATATTTGATGCAATCGCTACTGATAAACTGAAGTTTGCTATTGATGACCTTGTTGAGGGAGTTAAAGTCGTCTTCAAAGCATTGGCTCACTTTAGATGCCCATGTGAGTTAAAGGGACGCACATGCTACGATGCCAGCTAAGTGCAGTAGAAGTGCAGTAGTTTAAACAGTCATACAAGGCCTAACACATGTTACCATATTCAGTGGCCTCACTCATTTAGTTATTTTTGCTCTGTTGCAGATTTGATGAATTTTCCTACAACTCCACGCAAACGCCCGTTTTACTGGGGTGATATACATAGTATATGATACTATTATATTTTACAGATATATGCTCCAAGAAATTGGACATTGTGTTTGCGTTGGACAGAAGCAATAGCATCACTCGTGAGAACATTAACAAGACGAAAACATTCTTCAAAACACTTACCAAGTCATTCACCCTTGGGATGAATCACACATGCATTGGTGAGTCGTGCATGGTATTGATATTATTTGCAGAATTATGGTTTATAAGCGCGTACAGGGTGTCCTGAAAGTACGAGGCCCCCCTAGGTAGACATATACCTTAAAGCCTATCCAAAGTTGCATTGACTTGCCAAGTATCATGGTTCAGCTCACAAATGGTAAAACGTTACAGGCATTTCAAAACTTAGTGTTTGGCCAAAATATAGTTCATTTCAGTATCCTATTAGAAACAGCCCTGACCTGAATGTGACCGAAATTATGGGTGCTATTGTTGAAGAAAGGGTGGATATTGAGTTCTAAAAAGAGGACGGCGATGATATATACTCCAAGGAAACTCTTCTAAAATGCCTTAAAAGAGGATTACAAAAGGCTACATCCCTATTTGAAGTGTGTTTAATATATGAAAAGCATTGCTGCTGTTAACATGACCTAGGGAGACACACCGACTATCATGTCGGTGTAAAACTGACTTTAATTTTGGCCAAACACTAAATATTGAAATGCCCGTCCCCTTTTCCCATTTTTGAGTTAAACCATGATATTTGGCAAATCAATGTAACTTTGGATGAGGTTTAAAATGATATATGACACTTACTATGGAGAGTGACACATTGGTATATATCTGCCTAGGGGTGGGGGAGGGTGGCACACTTTCGGGACACCCTGTACATGTAAATTTGAAAACTTCAGACTTATAAACATTTCAACTAGGTTTAAGTTACTGTTATGATGTGGTTACAACATGATCCATGAATGGACTTAAATAATGTATGAAAAGAATTTTACCAGAGAGATTATCTTTAAAATATGACCATTCCTATCCTGCTGACTGTTACAATACCGCAACTTCCATTGTTTTTGATACAAAACGATATCGTTGAATGAATAATCAACTTTAAGTATTATATAGAGAATCAGATGATTCTTGATTTATTTAACATTACAGGTCGCATTCATTAAAATCTTCATTTGACGTTTCAAAACAATTTTTAATTGTACTATTTTACTTTTATACAGCAATGATTAGTTACAATAAACGCGTATATAACCACTTCAATCTGGCTGATTCACACAAGTACGATATCGTTAAGTTGATAAACAAGGTTCCTGATGATAATGGCATGTACACCAATACTCATAAAGCTTTGAAAAAAGCTAGACAGGGTATGTTAGAGTTACTGGACCCCCAATATCCCTCTCGTAATATTTTGGAGTTCGTTCGTACCAATGGAACTACAGTACCTAGCAATATATCATTATACCTATTTAGATGCATATACCATTGGAAAGAAAATATAACTCTCTAACTCGACACAATACATTTACGATTATCAATTCATTTATTTTCGTATGCACTAAATTGAATACCGATATCTTCTCATTCGTATACGCATGTGTTTTAATGTTACATTTTTGCAAAATATAGGCGGGAGAGCCTTGTGAATCACGTTATTATTCCTAAACATATTCCAATACGTTTTTTCTAATTCTTAGCGTATCTTTAGGGGTTAGAGATTTGATAAGATAATGATAATATTTTGGTCGTTATTTATGAGTGTATCATCTGAGTTTATTTATTTTTCATTGATAATTACAATGACATATCTCTCTGTATCCGAATCACAATCCCCCTTTCGTAGTGTGTCGGAATAACTAATTTGCTTATTTTCAAGAAATATTTCGTCATTCAACCCGTGGCGATACAACTACTAAAGTTACGGTAGTGGCTACTGATGGTGTAACTTGGATAGCTGGTAACATTGCAGAATCTCCGCCAAACCGAAGAAATCCAACGATTGCGGAAGGATATTACTACTCGTTATTCAGATACAATCTAGTATTAATTGGAGTACCAAATTTTAACCATAAATATGGTTATGAAGAATGGATCCGAACTGCAACTGATCCTGATTTTGATCCCAATAACCCAGAATCTTCTCCTGATGACAATATTTTCAATCTCCAAGATGGAAGTTCATTTGATGATCTCACATCCGTGGCTCCATATATTGCAGAACAGATTTGTTCATTAGCCCCTTAGAATGTGTTTATCAATGCGCGTGGTTTCTTTGTCAGTTTTTAAGGATCTATTACGAATAAAGCTTTAAAAATACTGTTCTTATTTACTGGTTCTGTACAGTCTTTAGGTAGACGACTAAGAAAAAGGATTTACAGGTGTTCATTGATTCAACTGTTACTGTTATATAACTTCATGGAGTACCACATCACACAGTCACTAATGAAAGTTTAGAGCATATAGAACCCAGTATACCTCATGGTACTCATACGACGTAGAATACAAATCATACCTGGGTGTAATTCATAGAGTATACCACGTATTACCTTATAGCGCTCCATAGGAAACCATATCATACCTCATGGTGTCACATGGAATACCAGGTCACCCTCTAGGAATTTCATGGGATAACACACCTCAAAGTACGCCTTAAAATTCGAATCACGGCTCATGGTACTTCATAGGATACTAGATTACACGAAGATCAAGTAGTGACGTCTGAAATACTACAAAACACATCATACAGTAACACAATCGATTTGTGTGAGTACATTTGACGGAAGTCGGGATCGTGAAATCAAGATCGGGAAATATCAAAGAATAAATTTGATTTGCCACTGGTGTCGTTGTCAAGCGCACCACGTACATTAGTGAAATGTCCGAAAATCAGGTTCGTTAAATATTCAATTCTAAGAGAGAAATGACGTGATACATGCGCGATCGGACTGACATGTTATATTTAAACATGACAACATTTATGAGCTCGTTAAATAATTATCAAACAAAATTAATGACTGCGAAACAAAGATTAATTGTATTTACACGAATTCCATGCCTTAGTGACTATTTAATTTAGTGTAAAATCATACTCTTTCATTGTCATTAAAACAGCTTGAAGAAGTAATATATTAGGCCTATGGATGAATTCGGAAATTGAATCATGGATATATTTGAATTAAAATCCCTCTGTACACTACATAATACATTGCGACTGTGGCTATTGGTCAATGTTCTGACTTGTTGCTATGCTGTCAATGTCTCCTCGTTGTTCGGATTGGACCCTGCGGCACCAAAATGTGAGTACAGTTGGGATTGATTTTAATGATTTTACTTGAGTTTTTAATTTTCAATATCGCTAATATCAGGGGTCAATGTTTAATAATGAAAAGAATAAAGTGACCTTGGTTCGGAGAATGGGTTTATTAAAAAAGTAGTATATGATATCAAAAATTAATTGGATGCTTAAAAACTATGTTTCTCTCAAAGAAAACAATTGAATTTGAACTTACAAACATTATTATGCAAGTAAAATAAAAACCTAGATTAAGTTTATTTTGTTTTAGCCCTCTGTATGGACCTAGTCTTTATGGTAGATACCTCATGCAGCGTGGCCAATGCAGATTTTCCAAAGATGCAGAAATTTATGACAGATATGGTAGATGGAATCGAGGAACTTAGTCCGTTAGCAACAAGGGTAAGTCCCATATGGTGGTCTTGGTAACTATTGTGAGTCCTATGACGTGTCGCAAAAAGCTCGCACACGCATTGTTACACATTTTGTGGCGTAATCCAGAGGATCCTCGCTTTTAACATGATAGAATGTGACGTTTTTGAGAAAAATGTACACACATGAAAATCCTTTCGTCCTCCACATTTACCTCTATATCTCAAAACATTTTAGACGAATAATCATATATATATTTTTAATGGGCTGGAGCATCATAAAACACGAATCAATTGATATTTTAGGTGAAATAAATATACGTGTTGCTGTGCTTGAAAATAGGCGAATGGCGTAAATTAGCCCTATTTTAATGAATTTTGAAAACCTTTCGTCCTCCACTTTTCCACATACAACAGAAAACACATATTTTTGTGAACAAAATCAACTATTTATTAATAAACTAGAGTTTAGGAGCAAAATAATCATGTATGATTTATTAAAAATTGATCTCGTATTTTTTGTTTAATGTACACCTGAAAAGTTGAAGGTACCAAAAAATGAGCAAAAAAGGTCGCTGTCAACAGATTCTATTTTTCAGACTCTATGACGTCACAATATGGGACGCTTACTAAAATTCATCCTTTGAAATAAAACTTCCATCTACCTTTATCAAGACGAAAAATAAGTATAATAGTCATATATTGTTTGAGTTATGAGCGTTTAAAGACGAAAAATAATTCAAAATGTAACGTGTCAACATGGGATATTTTCCAGATGTTTTGGTAAAAAACTCTTTTTTAAAAACGAACGCGCAAAAAATGTGAACGGAGTGTAGTTGATCTAAAATCTTCATCGAAACAGCTTTAAAATGATATATAACTTTAATTAGAATATTATCTTATAATCCGGGGAATCATAGTTACATTCACGCGATACCCTTAAAAAACAAATGCGCCACCTTTTTGCGACACGTCTATATTGTAACCATGTTATAAATTATATTGATATATTGTAAATTAATCCCACTTACAAACATTAGCAACCGTGATAAAACCACACGGTCACAATTGCTCTACGCCGGTCGTACGGTTGCAGTGGCCAGCTTCACAAGATCGATATAGAAAAGATCTTTATATCTTACTGTTTATCGGCCTATATTTTATATTTCATATTTGTTGCCATTCTGTGAAACTATGGCTGCCGTACGGTAGTCGTAGATCAAATGTGACCGAGGGATTAGTCCCGTAGCAACCAGAATATACATCTTAGTCCAGTCCAGATCAACTAAGCGGGTAATTTAAAGGCTTATGTTACAGATTGGAGTTGGAATGTTTGATGAAGGGGCAAGAGTTATAGTTCCGATTGATAGATACACGGACAAACAGCAACTGAAGGACGCCATCACCTCCGCTGTCTACAAGGCTATTGCCTGTCGTACCAACACAGATGTTGCTCTCCAATTGGTCAGGTAACGATTTCAATCATCTCCATGGTTACTATGTATTAATTAATCACTACATCACAGGTTGATTTCATTTGACTAGTATTACCTTTTGCTGTTTAGTGCAGAAATCGAAATTTTCATAATGAATGAGCTTGTACCCTACATATACTTCTGACTATAACAGGGAGGACCCCGGTTTACTTGGCGGGAAAAAAGTTGACAACAGGGCTCGGATTATGGTTATGATAACAGATGGTGAACCGTACTATAGAAAAAAAGTGGTGAGTAAAATATATGCTATTGCTAAATAGGAGGAGGTTTAAAGTGATACGATCACTTACCAACGTTTTGCTGGACAAAATAGAATGGATAACATTAATATTCTTGAATATAGTGTCTCGAATGTTAAAGTCTCTTTATCAATCTTGAAAACTGACCATTCATAACAAATACATACAAACTAACTGGAATGCATGACAAACTAACTTGAATACATGTTTCAGTCCCAAATAGAAACCATGTGGAAAATGTTCAATTGTCAAATTCGAAGTGCAGTACATTCCAGATGCAGCTTAATGTGAAGTGAACTAATAATTTACAAAAAGCGCCAAATGTACATTTAGGAATGCAGTCGATGTCGCACATGGATCATGGGAATGCAAAGAGCATGTCCTCTCGGTGTTTCTTTGGAATATTTTCATGAAATCTTTAACACGTTTTATAGAAACCAGAACAGCAAGCTATAGACGACACTATTGCCCAAGCCATACTGAATAAGGAAGATGGGATTACTGGTATAGTTGTGATGGTGCGAAACAGTGATGGTGAAATCATCCCAGAAGACAAACACTATATATTTGATGCAATTGCAAATGATCCACTTGATAAGCATAAGTTCGCTATTGATGACCTTGCAGAGGGAGTTAAGATTGTCTTCAAAACTCTAGCTCACAATAAATGTCCATGTAAGTTTTCATCCTGACATATTTTGGTATCTCATTTGTACCCGTTTTTTTGTACCGTTGTCGAACGTTCTGGGAGTGCGCCACATTCTCCCTCACATCGCACAAACGGCCGTGTACGACGTGCTGTCATTTGCGATTGGCGTCAGATTGCAAGAGTTTAATCATTTTAGATTTACTAGAAATATGAGCCTTTGTTCCTCAGGAACATTAACTAACCTGTGTACGATCCACGCATGGAGGGTGTATATGACCTCATATAGAACCACCCTTCATGTTGTACAGTAATCGTATACAGTACGAGTAAATATCATTCCCCGAATTCTCAAACATATACTGTTTCCTGTTGAAAATCTAGGAAAAGAGAACCAAAAAAGAAAGTCCCTTGAGTTCTCGCTCGAAACAGAAGGGATCTTAATATGTTTTGCAGACACCTGCTCTAAGAGGATCGATCTCGTGTTTGCAATGGACCGGAGCAACAGTATCAGTTCGCAGAACATTGCCCTGACGAAATTGTTCTTGCAAAAGCTTACTGAGTCGTTCACACTTGGACCAGATTACACATGCATTGGTCAGTACAGTATTACCAGGCCCGTATATAACCATTAATGGGGAGGTTAAGCTTGCATATAATCGAAACGAAACGTGTAACGTATCAAGAGCGCATTTGTCTGTCGACATGTGGTGACATGGTACATAATGCCCATTAGAATTTTCAACATTTTACGTTACATTTCAATGCGAAAAGGCAATATTTGATATTGTTCCAGGTAGCGTTTGAAAAACTAATGAAACAATAGCAAAATATTACACGTTGATGTACTCTGTCCAATAGGAAAAACGACAACCATAAAATTATAATTGTACGTGTATGTCTTCAGCCATGGTAAGTTACAGTCAAGGAGTGGAGTACCATTTTAAACTGGACGAGTCCTACAATTACAACATTCATCAGTTAATTGACGCGGTTCCTGAGACTAATCACAGGTACACGGAGACATATAAAGCTTTGAAACTAGCAAGAAAAGGTATGTTTAACGTTTGAAATATTTAAGAACGCTTTTATTATGTCTCTGGAAATATAAATGGATGAACATTGCTTTGGTTGATCATGTTCCAGTTTAACGTTTATATTGATTGAAACTATGTTATTGCATTGGATTGGTATTCAGAA